TGTTTTGCTTATTAAATTGACTTTTCTCACCCTGGTGTATGAACAGCACGAGGCTGTAAATGTGAAAGTGGCTTCCTCACTGGTGCCTTTCCACTGTAGAATGCTGTCTCCATGTGTAGCCATACAAGTGGTATACTGCTCAAGATCAGGGCATACAGTCCTTGTGGGAATGGCACCCCCTGCAATTGTGCAACAAGTCAGCCCCCTGGGTGCTGAGGAAGTGTTATCCAACTGAATAAAAACGAAATGCTTGCCCTGCTATTTTAACTGTCAGTACACTCTAGAAAAATCCCTGGTATTGAAGGAACACTCTGGAGAGACACAGACCAAAGAAAGATATTTATAACAGCTCATGGACTGGGAGTTTAAAAGTACCCTACCTACAAACCCATAAATACTGTTTACCAACTAAACAAAGAGTCTTGAATTCCACTGGAGGTGGGCAAATTGGCTATGTTTGGGAAGTCTACATAATGACTATTTTCCCACAAGATAATTGAACAGTACGTGTTATTTAAAGTAATGTTGGAAGAATTCCCAGTTTCACTGTAGGAAAAGAGAAGTTTACATCTCCAGATTTTGTTTTGAGAATCAGAGCAGCCAACGGCTCATGCAGCTCTTTTGTCTGGTTGAGATTAAATGAAATCTGCTTCAAAACAGAAGGGCCGTACTTCCACAGTAGCCGCCCATCAACATGTCACATCCTTTATCACTGGCCCACCCTCCCTGATTTCCTGTCTGACTTACTGAAGTTTGTCGCAGTTCCCTGTGAGTGGCAGTTTGGTGATGTCATAGCTTTTACTTATAATGGTGAGTTGTCAGAAACCAGGATTTCAGCAGGACTCTGGGGTGGAAGGAAAGGGGAGAATTTGCAGGAAACATTACCCATAAAGGACATGGACAAAGGGCTGTGAATCCCCAGCAGTCAGTACTATGACCTGCAGGCGAATTACTCATGTAGTTCCGGATGTTTAAGGAGTGAGTCACGGATAATGCCAATACCCTAGTTCTTCCTTAGAAGTCACCAAAATGGTGCAATTTCCCACTGCTTGTGTACCTTCTCATTCTAAGAGTTTTAAATGACCTAACACAGGCATGTGTTTGTATCAACTGGCTGAGAGAACATAGAGTGAGTTCATTCCTTGTGAAGGGACATAACATTGCCCAGCAGTTTGCCTTCCTCCTCCTCCCATTTCATTGACTTCGGTGGTCATGGTTCTGGAGGCTGTGATGATGATGTCACCACCCCTCTTGAGCTACCAAGTTCCAGATTCTCAGATGAGAAGGGAGGAGGTGAGAAGGTGTCTAGGGAATGCGGAGTGGTTAGGAAATAATTAGTCTTGTGCACCTTCTCATGGAGAAAGAAATAGCCAGAGGCTCAGAAAAACAGTGGGTGAATTTTACATGGGAGGGCACCAGCCTTCTGCTCCTTGGTGTGTCTCTGGCTACAGCGAGGATGGATGGCAATGTGCAGAAGAGAAATTCCCTGAAGTGTCACACCGGGATATTACTGTAGTGTCCCTGTTCCCACCGTGTTTACATGTACTTGGAGTATGGTCCTGGCTGCTGCCTGGCCTGCAGCTCCTGTAGACATCACACAATGACTCACATCTTCCCAATGCAAAACTGAGACCTGGCTGTCAGCCTCTGGTTTCTGTCCTAGTCCTAGAATCCAGCTCTTGCATTTTCTTGGTTTTCCCAGTCTGGTTTGGGCAGCTGAGAAAAAGGACAACAGCCAAGAGTTAAGAATTAAATCTCCGCAACTGGAGACATTATGAATAAATTGCGCTCATTCGTTCTCGCTACTGCTTTCGCTCTTTATCTCTCTGGTCTGTAAAATGGGGATAAGATTGTATCAAACTCATTTTGCTGATTAAGTTAGTACCTGATGATGTAGGATTTTATGTAATTAACAGGAGTTGCCAAGAAGCCCAGGGACAGAGCCACATGTCCTGCGATAGCTTCCTGCTCTTCAGTGAGTTTTTGTTGAAAACAAAACAAGCTAAAAGCACAGTAGCTATGTGTAGGTGGACTTGGGGACAAATGACTGATAACATTGTCAATGCCTTGTTCTCTGGCTTTATTTTTGAACTTGGATAAAAAGTGCTTCTGAGGGCACAAAGATGTTCTAATTTTTTTTCTCAACCAAGAAAATGCTTCTTAAGCAATGATATAGGATCATCCATGTCTGTATTTTTTGTTTGCTTGTTCCATTCATGTGTTCCACAATAAGTCAAAGCTGCAGGCACAGAATTCCCAGGGCTGTGCACCGTTCTTGTGTGGTGTGGAATTTAGTGAGCAGGTGGGGAGATACAGGACACTATGATTTTTTTTTTTAAATGGGACAGCAAATGTATCTTGTCCAGGTTTCGGAGAGTTGGGGGACTTCTTGAAGGCAGTTGTGTCTACCAGATCTAAGGGAGGAACAGAACTTACCAGGCACTGTTCAGGAGTCACTTCTGTTCAGCCTAAGGAGCTGAGTGCTCCAGAGAACCAAAGAAGTTATCACAAGCCAGGAACACCTTCTGACCTTGGCACACCAAGCAGCAGACGGAGTGTCAGTGCTCTCCTTCCTGCCTCTGGCCACCGACAGCAGACGGGAGCTTCACCAGCCGCAATACTGTCTTTGCAGAAGTCACGCAAAAGTTTCCATTCGAAAAGGTTTTAAAAGCTGAGTCTGTGTAGAAGATCTATATCTGACATGATGATCACAAGCATGCACAAACTGAGAAACTGCCACCTTTCCCCATTTCCCACATGAAATTGTGTAAGAGCCCAGTGCTGTATACCCTAGGTGGCTATTTCCCTCACATGGGCACTTTGCCATGGGGAAGAGTGGTCCAGGGCTGCCTCCCATCAGGGAGCGGTCCATCTGACTCTCTCTCTCCCTCCTCTCCCTCTCATCCCCTGCCACCTATCTCTCTGTTCACTTTTCTCTCCACTGCCACCTCCCTTGCTGAAATAAAGACCTCCCGTGTGACTGACTGGATCTGGCCTTTTGGGTTTGTGGCAATGAAAGTTAACAGGCATAGCACAGCATGTGAGGTCTGAGAGCTAGAAAGACTGCTTTTGAGGAACTGACATCAGTATAGCTGAAATACAAGAGTTTCACAAGTGCGTGAAAAAAAGAGGAGGTTGAGAAATAGAGGAGCCAGAGCCAGACTGTTTCTTTCATAATGTATCTGACATGCAGGAATCAGAGGTAACACTGTGGAGTTTCACGCTAGGGGAAGACTAAGCACACACACGGAGAGTATCTTGACATTGAAAGAAGTTTTTATAAAGTCTTTGAAAGGTTCCTAATTGCCTCCTCATGTTCATGAGTCTAATGAACATCAGAGAAGCTCAAGCACTTGGTTCAGATTTGACACTCAGAGCTGAGCCAATCTGAAGCCAGGTGCTCCTTTAGGTCTCCCAGGTGGGTGCAGGGGCCAAGGGACTTGGCCATCCTCTGCTGCTTTTTCAGGCCACACACAGACAGCTGGAATGGAAATGGAGCAGCCTGTGAACAGGTGCCCTTATGGGATGCCAGCTCTGTAGGCAGAGGTTGAACCTATTGCAACACAGTGCCAGCCCCTAGGGTGTTATTTTGATAGATAAATTATGCTAAACTATCTGCCGGTGAGAAGACACAAAGTTTTCAACTTCAGTGTTAAGGTTAACTGGATTAATGTTTTTTAGAGTACTCTACAACTCGTCAATTGTTTGAGCAAGGAGAGAACTTTTTCATTACTCAACTATCTTCCAAAATAATATTTTCCTTTCTCCGTGATTTTTTTCATACTGCTATCGCTACTAAAATTGCTGGCTGCAATGCTCATTTCTCAAGATCCACACAGCGTTCATTGCTTTGCTTCCTTGGGCCATTTTAATGTTGATTCTGTGGGAGAACTACATTATATCTTTTCAGTTTATTATTTGACTGTTCATGCACCTTGAACAGTTTGACTAGAGTTAGTAGGAAAGTCCTTTGTAACTACCAGAGCACTTCGAAGGGGCACAGACTGCACGATTGATCATGGAACAATATTTAAACAGAGACTTGTAGATAATCCTCAATATTGACAAGATAAAAGCGGAAGAAAATACGCTTCCTTCGCAACCCAAGGTTGCTGAGTCATTAACCGGCTAACGGTTAATAAAGCTGCTTATGTCCGGGCTCCTGTGGTCAGAGATGTGGAGTGACTGGGTCTGCAGGAAAACACCTAGTCTCTAGTTCTGAAAACCCTGCAAGGAGTGAAACTAACTAGAGACGGGATGCCTGCACCAGCCTTCTTGTAGCCCCTAACCTCATCAGTCTATTTCTGATAAGGATTCTCTGATGAATGCAGTACACATTAAACCCCATCAGTTCCTCATCTCCCTTTTAAGTGACAGCATAGCTCAGGCGCAAGTGTTTGGGGGTGTAGCTGGTCCTCAACAAATGTTAGTGACCACTTTTGGTTTTAGTATAGCTTCATTGCTGAGAGCTGTGCTGCCCACTGTGCTGGCAGACCAGCCGGGTTTGAGATACGCCCAGGTTGAGACAGGCTCTAAATAAAAAACAGATAGTGACTTTCAAAGACTTGGTAGGGGGGGCGGAAAGTCAAACAGATCATCATTTTTTTTGAGTGCATGCTAGCTTGTGTGTTGTGAATTAAATAAAATATATAACTAAATGTATTATTAAAATGGATTTCACTGTTTTTTATGAATGTGGCTGATGGTCAGAACATTTTTGAATTGCACATGTGGCTCGCATGTGGGGCTTGCATTCAGTTGCTCTCGGGTAGCACTGGTTTAGACGGTCTCCCAGAGTGTGTGGTCAAGCCGCAGTATTGCAGTCACTTAGCAAGGAAGCTGATAGCAAAGGAAAAAAGGAAGAAAGCCAGAGAAAAGCCAATAAAATAGTGCTTCCACAAAATGGAAATTGTATTTTTTTTACTGCTTCGTGTGATTTTAACTTTGAGAAACTAAATGATTTATGTCTAATTACAAAAACCCACAACTGTGTTTCCTAGGTTACTGGTGGGTTCACCCTGGAGTGGTTTTCCTGAGAACCGAATGGGAGATGTGTATAAGTGTCCTGTTGACCTCTCCACGGCCACGTGTGAAAAACTAAATTTGCAAAGTAAGTTGTACTTAGCTGTGTGATTTTGTTTGTTTGTTTTTTTTAACACATATCAAAATCTCATTTGTTCTACACCCAGCTAAGATGTAATAAGAAAAGCAGTCATCATCGTTTCATCTTAAAGGAGTGGAGCCTTTACTTCAGGCTCCTGGGGTCCCAGGTCATTAGGAATGAGTTTTCAAAAGCTCCAATGTATCATCCCTAATATAACACCCTTACATTTTTTAACATTTGAGTATTTGTTTTTTATTGTCTCAATGCTATATACACTTTGCCATATTACTAATATACTTACATAAGTGTAAGCTTCAAAGTAAAAATACGCCACTTGAAGTTCTGTTAATTTCCTCCTATTGCAAATCATGTTTTGTGTAACTTCCTCAGCTAGAGTGGAAATCCAGTAGGACTTCATTGGGAAAAACAGATGAAGGATTTAGGAGGGAGCTCTTACTAAGTGCATGGAGTGTGAATTTACTTCTATTTCTAGATGTTGAATAGTTTAGGAGAGCTGCTTGAAAACAGCTCACTGGATTGGCAGGATCAAGAGGAGATTTTCCTGGTAAGGGAAGAATCTTCTGCAGGCAGAATGGCATAAAATAGTTCAACAGGGCTGTTAGTCAAGGTTGGTCGGCTCAAAGGGATTCACATCACTGTTATCTGGGAAATGGGGTGCTGTTAAGAACATCTGTTTCGTCAAGAAGGAAAGGGGGAACAAGTGGTTCTAAGAATGACCTTGGTGTAATGAGATGACTCAGTGTGCAATTCATCCTTTGTGATAGAAAACTATCCAAGAGTGAGCAGACCTCGGTTCAGGTGGGAGTCCTGAAAAGATAGGTGAATGTTTGTAATAGTCGCTCTGGAAAATGGGGAAGAAGTGTTACTAAGGATATGAGAGAGAGAGAGGCAAGGAGAGCTTGGCAGAGGTAAAAGGCCAGAGCAACAATGACATCACCGAGGAAGATGCACTGGTCAGTCATTTGAGAAGAGACGCAGTGACCGGTGCCTATGTTCAGTAAGAAGGAGGCCATTGGGCAGGTTCATTGGTGGGCTCATGGCTGCTTTAAAGTTTCACCCAGCATTGTAAAGAATTTCAGTTTCAGGGCCTGTAAGTCAGACCCTCTCCAGAATCCAACCCCCTACTGTCTTACATCCTGCAGCCTCACACATTAAAGTCATGATACGCCCCCAGCACCTGGATATATGGTACTACGATCAGTGCTACATGTAAAACACAGATGTACCTGTTGCTTTCCTAACATGTCTCAGTAAATCATGTTTTCAAATCTTTGTCTTTTTAAAAAGCTTCCACAAGCATGCCAAGTGTGACCGAGATGAAAACCAACATGAGCCTTGGCTTGACCCTGTCAAGGAACGTGGGGACCGGAGGGTTTCTCGTGAGTGCTGGCTTTCCCTACCTCATTCCTGTTGAGAACATTTGATAGTTTCTTCCTTCCATCTCTCCATTGGAACCAGTCTTGAAGCTTAAATGTCGCAGCTCGCTTTCTGCTATTGGGATATTCAACGCACAATGAGTGTCTTGCAATGTGCAAGATATTAGGATATTCAGCAAAATATTTGCAGCAGAATGTTTTGAAAAAAGACAGTCGAAGGAACATTTACTTCTTGCCCTTACAAAGAAGGCTTAGAACATACTGATAATGTCAGAACCGCAGGCCTGCTGTCTCCTGGAACATTTGCAATTAGGTACTACTAATTCGGAAAGGCTTTGAGGTCTATTTCCTGTATCATTCAAGATAGACAATCCTGAATCAGAAAGTAGGCTTCAAAGCTAAAAATGTAGTTTTATTTTTAGCCATATCCTCTAACCACTGTCTAATCTGAGACTAGTTTAGGCATGGTGTGATCTCTCATTGTATCATGTCAGCTTGGAAGCTAAATTAGTTTCTAAGATGCTGTGAAATGACAATAGTGAAAAAGGATGCCTTAACAAAGAATCTGGAAGCAACGAGTTGAACTGCATATCCAAATGAATTAAAGGCATTAATATAAAAACCAAAAAATAAAATTCGAACTTTCTTAAGGTAAGAATTTCTGAACTTAGAACTAATTAAAATATAATAGAGGAAATTTTTTAACAAGACTCGGTAATATTAAAAAGAAATATCATTGAAAAAATTTAAAAGATAAGAACTCATAAAAATTCAGTCTTTTTTGAAATGTTCAACAATTTATATCCTTATATTCCAGTTGCATAGTCCTGTTAATATTGCTTTCCAGAGACTAATTGAAATTGGCATTACTTTTAGCTGTACCATGCATGCATGTGCCAGCTTATATTTTATGCTTCATAGCTGTATCATTCCAGCAGTATCATTAAACAAAGTCACTCTACTTTTACTAACTTTTTTTCATATAACTTTGCTACCACTAAATAATTAGGTATTGCTTATGATTTTGTTTCAGTTCATAAATGTCACAGTTGACTGTCATAGTGTATGATATTCCAGTCTATAATAATGCTGTTTTTATCTTTTTTTGCAATGTGTTTTGTTTATTTTTAAGGTTGCATAAGTCATAAAGAGAGACTTTGGATTTTAGCTCATGTAACTGTGATAAAATAAAATTGCAAGAGAATTTGAGAGATTAATACGATAGCAAGCAGAGAGGAAGAAAGAGCAATAAAGAAAAAAAGCCAAAGTTTCCTTCACATATCTAAAAGGTCAAACATCTTAAGATTTTCTTAAGCATTATGTGGCTGACAATCATCACAGTTTTCATAAATTCTGGGCTTAAAGCTGGAATGTGGTACTGGCATTAATACCTGGCAGAATTCTAATTTCAACTTCTCAATACTGCTTTCCATTGCTTTCAAAACAAAGACATCTTTTTTTCTTGAGTATTTCATGAGCTATTGCATAAAGTGTTTAAAAAGAAAACCTTAGAAATGGGAATATATGACTTAGTAACTAGTTTCTGTTATTTGGTAAACTAATCAATGCTGTGAAAAATTATATTCTCCTAAATGGCAAAATGAATCAATTTTATGAGGTGGCAGCGGAGGGGTGGGGTTGCTGAGATCAGCACAGCTGCTTCTAACGGTTAAACCGGGTCAAACAGATTTCCTCTTCTTTTTCCAATTGCTTAAAAGACTACGCTTTTCTGTTAGGTTTTAAACATGTGTCCACAGCTTTGCATAATGCCAAGTTATTTAGACTTTTTTTTAGGATCTTGATGAGGTTTTGCTTTTCTACATTTCTTTTACATCAAGACATCTTAAGATTTAGTCTGCTTGTTCTTGGGTGATTTCTTGATATCTGAGGACTGCTAAGTAGGAGAAAGATTGGGATCACGTGGATGGAGATATTAAGAATTGAAATATGCATGGGGTGAGCAAGGAGACCATGTGAACCAGCTTTGGTGGTGGAACAGAAATAGAGAATTTTCAGGTTCTCCCAGTAAAGTAGTGCTCTGCGATCAAACAGTGGCAGTCCAGGAACCTCATTTGATTTGTTTAGCATATAATGTTTGAGTTTGTAAAATGTTTTGTCTAATTGAAAGGCAGATTGAGAGAGGGAGACATTTCCTGCCTGCTGGTTCACTTCCAAATTCCTGCCACAGTCAGAGTTGAACTAAAGCTACAGCCAGGACTCTGGAACTCCACCTGAGTTTCTCGTGGGTCTGGCAGGGCTTCACATCCTGCGATGTGGCCTGCTACCACTCAAGCTGCATTAGCTGGAGGCTGGATGGGAAGCAGAGTAATGGAGACTCAAGCCAGGACTCTGATAAGGATGTAGGTGTCCCAAGTGGCAGCTTAAACCACTGCGCCACTATGCCCACCCAGTGGGTGATGTTTTTAGACTGAGTTTTCCCATGAACTCTGCTTTCTCTGACTCTCAGTGGAAGACTGGGTAGTCTGGAAGCACAGGGCCTGTTTCATACCAGTGAGTGAGCAGGGAGTCCACTGGCTTGTCTGTTTGGGTAAGGCACAGGTGCTTCCTTCAGCAGGGTGGCTCTCCCTGCCCCAAGCACTAATGGAGGGCTCCCACCAGACGCTTAGGGTTGCAGTGTCTGCTAGCAATCTAAATTGAAGAGACAGGAGGAGACCTATGCCTGACAATAACAATGACCAAGATATTGGCTCACAGTTAACATTGAACTTGGTGTTCACTTGGCACTGTGAAGCCATTTAATCTTCACCACTCCCTTTAGAACTTGGGGAATGGGATTTTCCTTGCTTTACAGATGAAACATGTGTGGCCTGGGTAACTGAGAGACAGAATAAACTTGGCCATTGGCTTCCTCCTGGAAGGAAAATGCTGTTTTCTCTGGCTGGGTTGCGGAGCTGGTGGGCCACTTGCTTCCTTGACGAGCACCTGCTCCTGCCAGTCCCAGTTCTGCTTCTGGCAGGCCTGCTGGAGGGCACTAAGCAGCCATCTCATCCTCCATCATTTCTCCTTTCCCCAGCAGACTTTCACTTAAGCACAATTTTGACTGGTTAATTTCAGAAGTTGATCATTGCTCATATCTTGGAGAAAGAATGATCTCCAAGCTCCACACCTAAAGAGGCAGAAGGCACGCATTATTATGATTATTTTGTACATGTTTCCCACTTACTGCTTTCTCATCTCATTGAAGACATGCGGTCCTCTGTGGGCACAGCAGTGCGGAAATCAGTATTATACAACCGGCATCTGTTCTGATGTCAGTCCTGATTTCAAGCTCTTGTCCAGCTTTTCACCTGCAGTACAGGGTAAGTTACGAATGTGCAGATATGATCAATGTGTTTTCAAGCCGTGGGTGGCAGGGGAGGGAGGGAGAGGAAGGGGAGGAGTTTAGTAAATGCTACTCATGACAGGTCTCTTGTCCTGTTTTCACCTGAGTGTGAAGTTTGACTTAACCTTTTCCATGTGTGTTTGTGTGTGTGTGTGTGTTTTTTTCTTGTAGCCTGCCCTTCGCTTATAGATGTTGTGGTAGTGTGTGATGAATCAAATAGTATTTATCCTTGGGACGCAGTAAAGAACTTTTTGGAAAAATTTGTTCAAGGCCTGGATATTGGACCCACAAAAACACAGGTATGGATGTCACTGATAAACCACCTAACCTAGGCCTTACTTTCTGAGAAAATACTGCTGAATATAAGAGATCTTAGAGTTTGTCATTTGTCAAATTCCCACCTGCTATGTAACACTGAAAGCTGATGGAAACTTGGTTTATGTTGGGTTGTTCTGCCCTGATTTGGCTGATGCTGGCCTCGTGGGTTTCCTTTTAGGCCTCGCACATAAGACAGAACATTTTCACCCTCTTTTAGCTGTCTGTTTCCTCCACTTCTAACACATGAATTTATCAATGCATTTTGAAGAGGTGTGCCTCTTTCTCATGCCCGTTTGGGCTAAGAATTTTGTTTCTTTACGCTTCATTGGCAATGTACAATTGCCTTTGTATTCTGGAATTATTTTATAATAATTGCACCCTTTGAATTTTAGTTTTTTTTCATGTTTTAGTCTAACCTGCCTTTGTAACATGGAGAAGTCTTTTCAATAATTCAGCATAACTTTCTATGTTACAAAAATCTTTATTTTTGTGTCGTTTAAGATGGACAACCAAAATTCAGGAGCAGATGCTTCTGAGAGAAAACTAAGCAGCATTTATTTCAGAAGTTCAGTTTCTGCTGTTTTGGTTTTTTGTTTGTTTGTTTTAGTTTGGTTTTTAATTGCAAGTGGATCTTCCATTCCATGGGTCACTTAGTTGTAGGAAGACAGTGAAGCAGTCTGTGCCAGTTCAGAGTTAGCTGCATATTTTTGAGTTGCAGCTTATCCTGCTGTGTCCCGAGTACTAACAATGGCTGGAATATTTTCCCTAAATGCTTAGCAGTGACCTTTACTGAATTTGCCTTTCTGCCTTCCTAGATGGTATTATAAAATATCATTAGCCAGTTTCCCCATTGAGAATGCTTGCTAATGCCAGGAGAACATTACTGCTTGCTGAAACCATGGCTTTTACTTACTGTTGCATAAGATTAAGTATAGCACCAATGTCTGATGAATATCACTGATAAATCATTAAAAGAGAAATATGTACTTCCTTACTTTGTATCTCTAAATGAAATACCCCCCATGGCAATGCATTTAATGGATTTATTATTCTTTTGCCTCTTCCTAGCACTGTACACCATTTTTGAAGGTTTATTTTATTATTTGAAAAGTAGATTTGCAGAGAGAGAGGGAGAGATCTTCCATCCATTGGTTTACTCCTACATGGCTATGACAGCCAGAGCTGAGCTGATTCCAAGCCAGGAACCTGGTGTTTTTTTCCTGGGTCTCCCACACAGGTGGAGGAGCCCAAGGTATGGAGACACCCTTCTCTGTGTTTCCAGGCCACAAACAGGGATCTGAATTACAAGTAGAGCAGCCAACACACAAACAGGTGCCCATATGGCATGCCAGGGCTGCAGGCAGAAGTTTACCATGCCAGCCCCGACACCGTATTTCTTATTCCTTTACAGAAGTGATTAAACTCATTCTCTTCTGTTCTCTAAAATTGGCCTTTGTATTAAGTCCTGATTTCCATCATATCTTTAAGTCCTCCTTCACTTTTCTCACACAGTGTTCAGAGACATGCTCGTGGGGCTTACTTTACTGCTACCTTACTTTCGGCGCTTAGTCTTGAAGTCTTCAGTGCCATTTTTGATCTTCACTCCCTCTTAACTCTCCTATGCTAAAGCAAGGGGTCCAAGAATGTCATCTTCCCAGTGCCTGGCGGGAGGGGGCAGGCAGGGGACAGCAGGTGAAGTTCCCTCTCCCTGCTTGGCACACTGACCTACGGAGCCTCCCGTGGAACCCTCCCTGCCACTTTCTGTTCTGGGACCCCACCTCCCAAGCGTAGAAGATGACCTCTGTCTGAGATCTTGATGGATAGGAAATGGCCCAGGACCCCTTGCCTTGGAATCCTGCTTTGGCTGGGCTCTCTCAAATATAGGACCTCTGGAGTTCTCCCTCCCAGTCCCGCATGCAGATACCAGCTTTCTTCCAAGGTGCTGAATCCCCTAAAATCTAGCTCGATGCATAGAACCAAAGTGAGCACATTTGTGTTTGGGTTTTTTTGTTTATTTGTTTTAAAGATTTATTTGTTTTTATTGGAAAGGCAGATTTACAGAGAGGAGGAGAGAAAGATCCTTATGGAAAGCCAATGCCCTTTCTCTGTGACTTCTTCTTATTTGCAAACTTATATCCATGGATAACTAGATATTTTACTTATGCCTCCTTTAATCTTCCTGTGATACTATTAATTATCTGCCTTTTAATAATAACCTTCAATATTAGTATTAGGAAATGTTTAAAATTACTCCTCCAAACCAGTTTGTAGACTGTAGTCCATCATATTGCATGTGATAGAATTATTGTGCGAAGATGCTCTCTGCCACCAGAACAAGAGTAATTTCCCTAAAAGAAACAGCTATCAGAAAAAACAGAATTGGAAATGATTCCTTCAAGCTGTCAGGTCATATCTAAATATAATCTTGAGAATTATTTTCTTGGCTAGAGAAAAAATACTATAATTTAATGACAGCCCATTTATAAACTTTTTCTCTTTTAAAGGTGGGATTGATTCAATATGCTAATAACCCAAGAGTTGTGTTTAACCTGAACACATTTGAAAACAAAGATGACATGATTGTAGCAACATCCCAGACATACCAACATGGTGGGGACCTCACAAACACATTCAAAGCAATCCAATTTGCGAGGTAAGTTTTGGTGTGAATAGACTGATATTTTGATAACATGAAAGTACTACTAACTGAAATAAAAAGAAAAAGAATATACCTACTCACCACCCCTACAGTCAGAATTAGACATAGAGTCTAAGTATTCTGTGCATTGAACACTTTGAAAAGGTAGCCCAGAAATGAAGTTAAAATATAGAATTTCGATAGGGTATGATTTTACACAAAGTGAGAAGACTTTAACATAGTAGTAAATGGAGTGATCTCTCTGTTTATGTTATCAGAGCTGCAGAAAAGATGAGCTAATGAAATACTTCATGCAAATTAATGAGAAGCAGCCCATCTTCAACATGAGTCCATTAAAATTTTTTTTTTAATCTGTGGAAAGTTTTTACAACTCTGTAGCAATCTCTTCTTATGTTCTCAGTTTCTCTGTTGATCCAGCTCCACTGATCTTCACTTTCACTGAATATTTTTTTAAGTTCATCTATTTAAGGGACCAGCTGTGATCCACTCCCTAGACACTTGTGGCAGCCTAGGAGCCTCGAGGTGATCTGAGGTAAAGCCAGGAGCCAGGAACTCATTTGGCACACTTCTTCATGGGTGGCAGGAACCCCAGGACTTGAGCCATCACCTGCTGAGTCCTGGATAAGCATGAGCAGGAACCTGGAATCAGCAGAGCCAGTAAATCCAGACACTGTTATATGAACTGCAGGCCTCACAAACTGTGGGCTTAACCCACCGTACTGTAAATACCCATCCCTTTTACTGGGCTTTAACCAGATACCTTCACAAATATGCGAAGCCCTCTCCTTGTGTTACAAAATAATTGAGAGTCATAAGCTTACCTTTCCTTATTCCTGCTTCCTGCTTTTTTTTTCCTCTTGTGCAATCCTTCTCTTACAATTTCTTGAAAAATATTATTTTGCCTTTCTCTCTTTTTTTTTTTTTTTGAAACCACCAGGCTAACAAATCCCTGTGAATTACCCAACTGATTATCCCTGCCTCAAACCTTACCCTTCTGCTCCTCTGACCATTCAGTAGTAGTAGACATATTTTCCTATTCTCAACCCAGTTGCCATGACACCACAAACTTCTGGGATCCCTACCAACTTCTTCTCAGTGTTTGGGCCTCTTCGCTGGCTCTTTTTCCAATTGTTTCCTCAACAGCCTGTCTTAACAGTTCTTCATCAGGAATTGTTGGCACCACCAGGGCATGGGCTCTGGGGGTCCCCTGAATGTGCTCCCCAGATTTGTAGAGCCATCCTGCTGGTGTTAGATGGCTTTGTTTGGAATGCTGATTCCCTCATCCCTTTCTGACACATCCTAACCTAGCCTTGTTCTCTTTCCTGCCACTCCTCCTGACTTTGCCACTTGGATTCATGTCCCTGATTGCTTCACTCAGACTAAAGACTTGGAGAGTTTTCTTTATTTTTTTTTTCTCACAACTCCATAGGTTTTGTCTCTGGGTGGTCACCACATCCTGTCATTTCTATTTCTGCATTTCCCATAGTATCTGTCCCTTGATTCTGCATGTTTATTTTAATTGCTGCTCCCACCAACTGGGTACTCTCCCTATGTGTCTCAAGGGCAGATTCTGCGTGAGAGCAGAGAGATGGGCTTCATTCACTTACACTATCCCTGTTAATGTGTCCCTTTGATATTAAGGGTGGGTATTAAGATGCACCTGGGACTCTGCAATGTCAGAGAGCCTGGAGTCCCTCTTCCCATTCTGAGTCCAGCCTCCTGTTAGTGCACACACATACATGGTTGGGTCCATGCCATTCCTGTTTTCCTGGCTTGTGGCTCTGACCTGACTGTCCCTGTGTGTGTGTGTGTGTGTGTGTGTGTGTGTGTGTGTGTGTGTGTGTGTGTGTGTGTGTCTCTCTCTCTCTCTCTCTCTCTCTCTCTCTCGGTTTTTCATATGAGTAAAAATTTTTTTTAAGATGGCCCTTTGGTCCTGGCTGTGTCCTGAGCCACTGCCCAGTCAGTAGGTCAGCAGCCAGCAGCAGAAGTGCCCTCCCTGGTCTAGTGACCTAGACTCGCCGAGTGTTTTTTTCCTGGCATTAAAACATGAGGAGGGGCAGTCTCCCTCAGGAAATGTGGGTGTGGGAGTTCTCCCTGGAAGGAAACCGGAGTCCTGTAAGCTTCCTTCTCTGGGATAACCATGTTTCCTCTCTGAGGTGGGACTGTCTGGCTTTCAGCATCTTTTCAAAATTTTGGTTTTATTTCCTTTGCCAGCATCTGCTTCCTTTTTACCACAGTTTCCCAAACTAGCAGGATTTCATCCTCCCATTGCTAGGAGAATCACTCAACTTGCTTGCCTCCACACAACACAACTGAACAGAACTGTCACTCTTTGAGTAACCATTGCCATCTTACCATTTACCTCGCTTCATTGAATGCCTACAGTAGCAAGTTAGTGGTCCAAGTGCTACAAATCATCACCCGTGAATGAAGCACAGTTTGTGTCCTCAAACACTTCATAATCACACAGAAGGTGCACAGGGCACCATAAACAGTATGTCACAGGTTGGGTGTTGAACACAAGAGTTGAGTCACTGCCCTTGACTTTGAATCAGAATACCTGACTTCAAGACCCCACTCTGCTTCCAGCACACCTTCTTGCTAATGTGCACCATGGTGGGGCAGCAAGTCATGGCTCAAATAATTAGATTCATACCACTGTGTAGGAGCTGTGGGTATAGTTTAGGCTACTGGATTCAGTGTGGCTGAACCCTTGCTGTTGGAGCATTTGAGAAGTAAATGTGTGAAGATTCTCTTTCTGCCTCCCTCCTTCTCTCTCTCTTTCTACCTCCTCCCCCCGCCTCCCCTGTTCCTTTCTCTCTGACTCTGCCTTTCAAGTAAATAATAATATATGTCACTGAAAAAAATCAGTAGCTTAATTCAAATTTCTCTTGTTAAAATATATATTTCTTACATGTCGACATTTTATAAAACATAAGAGTTTAGGTAATAAAATTATATGCTCAATTTTAAAGAAATTGAATTTCAGATATGCCTTACCTCTTCAGGTGAAAATACTGAAGCCCTGAAAACATACATGAAAATGGAGCTGCCACCATGGCATAGCAGGCTAATCTTTAACCTGTGACGTCTTGGGTGCCGGTTCAATGTCCTGGGAAAGTAGCGAGGTGCCCTAAGTACTTGGACATTGCACCCATGTGGGAGAGCCAGAAGAAACTCCTGGCATCTAGCTTCAGTCCAGCTCTGGAAGCTGTTTGGGGGTCAGGGGGTGAACCAATGGATGAAAGATCATTCTGTCTGTCTCTGGGTCTGTTGAGCCTTCTCTCTCTGTATCTTTCAAATAAAACATAAATCTTTAAAAATATATATATATACATAAAAATAGCATGGAAGACAGATACAAATGTTCAAGTTCCAAAGCAGGGGCGACATGACTCAGGGAGACGGTGTGCCAGGGGCATCCAGTAACCGAAGGAAAAGCAGCTATTTCTCAGGCATGTCCTCAACGAAAAAGAAAAGAAAGCTGACTGTCCACCTCACTCCTTGCTTCAAAAATGGATTTCAGCTGAACCAAAAAAAGATGAAAAGGACCATGAGAAAACCTGGATGATTTAGAAAGATATAATAAACTCTTGTAAAATGCCATATTAAAGATAAATACATAGGCAAAAATGTTAATGGGGCTGATTATATAAAAATGTAAGATTTTGCAGAGAAATAATTACTAAAATGTAATCAATATAAAACATTTTTATAATGTGACAAAATATTTTTATTAACAAAAATTATTAATCTTTGAGAGAATGAGGAACAACACACACACAAAAAGACAAAGTTACAGAAAAATCAAGGTCACCAAGACCAAAAAATAAATACTACTAAACATATAAATTCTCATCATCCCTTCATGTTGAAAAGTATCTATATTAAGGCAATGATTATATGCCATTTGTCCTTAATCAGAATTGCAAAAATTAATGATGTTTAGTCCTCAGTATCACAAAAAGGGCCCGGAGAACCATGCAGTGCTGTACTTTGGTGATATAAATTGTTGGAAATTTCTGAAGGGTAATTTGGTGTTATTTGCCAAAGCTGGAAATGTGAATATTCTTTGTCTCAATAATTTCACTGTTCTTGATAGCATCTGAAAAAGTACGCCAAGACACCGACAGTCATTACAGCATTTCTTCTAAAACTAATAATGACCCAGATGCCTAATGGCAAAGAGCTGGCTGAGTAAACCATGGTGTCTTCAAATAATGAGACATTGGAAGAGTGGCTTCATATGTACTGACATGGGAAGATGATCCAAATCACAGACAGTGAACCGGAATATGTCTGCTTTATGTGAAAATGAGGAGTGGATTATGTGTGTGTTGACTTTGTGTTTTGATTTTAAAAAGTTTATAGAGGGAAACCGGAACTGTAATGGAATAGTGGTTATCTTTGGAGCAGGGGCCTGGTGCTAGATTTTAATAATCTGCATTTATGTGTGTGTGTTTTTCATGTATTTATATGTTTGAAAACAAAAGTGATAGGGAGGAGGGAAACTTTCACCCACTCAGTTCAGATGCCTGTAACTACCAGAGCTGGCCAGGCCAGGAGCAGCTCTGTTCTGGCCTCCCAGGTGGTTGGCATACGTTTGATATCCCAGCCATGATCTGTTTCCTTGCGGATACATTAGCAGGAAGTTGGGTCAGGTTTGGAATGAGCACCCTGTTAGGATATTCAGATATTCAAATCAGTGGTTTAAGCCATGAAACCACAATACCTATATCTGCTTTGAGTTTTTTGCTTTTAAGCATGTGTAACCATTATATTTTTAAAAACAATTACATATTGAAAAGGCCCTATTGAATAAAATTCATGACAGAACTCTTTAGCCATTGACTAGTGTTAATTCGTTTGATTTTCTTATAAGAGAAAAGAATTCTTGATTCCGAAGACACAAATTTTTATGTCCTGGAACCCATGGAGACTTTTTTGACTGTCGAGCAAAATTTGTATTATTGCATATTTCTAAGCAACCGGCAAATTGAGCCTATGTAGTCACCATCGTTGACATGAAAGGAAATTCTGCATCACAACAGATTTTCCCCAGAGAAACTACTTTCATGTTTATATTTTAACCCAAATATCGCCTGTGAACTTACTCTTTTGAATGTGAGTATTTTTTTTGTTCTTTAATCTGCCACAGAAATTTTGCTTATTCGGCAGCTTCTGGTGGACGTCCAGGAGCCACGAAAGTCATGGTCGTCGTCACTGATGGAGAATCACATGATGGCTCAACGTGGAAAGCTGTGATTGATCAATGCAACGATGATAACATACTGAGGTTTGGCATAGCAGTAAGTGTCTTCTGTGTCCTGCGTTTGATTGGTAAATGCTCACTTACAGCATAACGTGTCAAGGCTGCAGATTCCTGTTGGCTGTTCTGCATAGAACGCTTTTGCTCTCTCTGCCCCTTCCTGAATTTTCAGTTCTGTCAACCAGTGAAATGTGAAAGTGTTGTTTGATTTACTTGTCTAGAGGGTCTGTTGTGCTCAGAAATAGACTGGAAAGTGCTCATCCGGGAGTCAGAGTGCAGCGGAAATGAGCTTTTTCCCTCTCTCTCTTGTTTTCAAGGTTCTTGGGTACTTAAACAGAAATGCCCTTGATACTAAAAATTTAATAAAAGAAATCAAAGCCATTGCCAGTATCCCAACAGAAAGATACTTTTTCAACGTGTCTGATGAGGCAGCCCTACTGGAAAAGGCTGGGACATTAGGAGAACAGATTTTCAGCATTGAAGGTAAAGATTGAGAATTTTCTTTCAACAAGCTTTTTGTTAATAGTTGTTTTATTTTATTATAATGCTGTATTGATATTGTCTGCATTGCAGAAGACTTGCTATAAAGCTGTAAAAAAAAATAGGTAAAGAATTTCAGTGTTTTGTAAAAGACAAAACACAAATGACCAATAAACAATACTATCGATTACAGTAATAGATTTGAAAATATAAATTAAGAGTTTTTACCTGAAAGATACCACAGATTAATAATGTTTAGTCTTGGAGATATGATGGGTGAGCAAAAAAGCTCGTGTAAGGTTGATTATGTCAAATTGATAAGACTTTTGGGAGCACAATTTGAAAATATCTATCACAAACATAGGTAGTTTTTTAGACTGAAGTATAATTTATGAAACACACACATACATATATATATATACATACTTTTCAATTAAAAAATACAATGAAAACACTTAATAGCTCAGTTTTTGAAGGAGTCTTTTATTTATCACTTCTGAAATCATTTACTTATCAGACCTTGGAAGATCTGTTGAGTATAAAAACATTCCATGCTTAAAACGCCCACTGTGTGGGGATCTAAAACATAGCACAGTGGACAAAAGTCCCACATGACCCAAATCCTGGCTCCCTGGAAACTCCCTGCAGTTAAGAGCACATGTCATAGATTGCTGTGTACATTACTGCCTTGTAAGTAGGAGTGAGTGGGTTAACAGATCAAGAATTCATCTCTGGGCCCAGTGCAGTAGCCTTGTGGCTAAAGTCCTCACCTCACATGTGCCAGGATCCCATATGAGCCCCACTTCACATCTAGTTCCCTGCTGCCCAAAGCCTTGAGACCCTGCATCTGTGTGGGAGACCAAAGAGAAGCTCCTGGCTCCTGGCTTCAGACAGGCTCAGCTCTGATGGTTGCAGCCACCTGCAGAGTGAATCAATGGGCAGAAGAACTTCCTCCTTGTCTCCTCCTCTCTGTATGAGTTTCCAATAAAATTTAAAAATCTTAAGGTCTATCAAAGCTTCTTTAAAAAACAAAGAATTCATTTCTTTAGCCATATGTTGATATCCTGATTATACTCTGGAAAGTTCTAGCCAAATAAAAATTTATGGCTTCTTAAATCACTCATGTTTTTCTAAGTTCTTTATCATCAACATCGCGTGTGCCCTAAGAATATGTAAAATGATTAAGCTATCTAGGCTAATATATTTGTATGTTGATTAAATGTGTATAAGATCAAATACGATGCAATGTGTAAGTTATTTGAAATGATTGTGTGCATTTCCTGTTATTACAGATTTTGGAGAGTTCCCCATTTTATTAAAAATAAAATCTCTACTCCATTGTTACATCTCCTGAACACGACTGTCATGTGGCACAATTTGCCTTCTCCAGGTTAAAGCATCATCAGTTCAGGCATTTAGCTTCCTTTTTGTGGATATTGCAGAAACCAAACCAGTTGGACCACACTATGTGGAAAATGAGTAGTGAGTCTAGGTTGTCAGTGACCAAAGCCACCATTAAGTAAAAAAAAAAAACTCCCAGATGGTAAAATTCTTTCACAGTCTTGAATCCCAGTTCCTGCTGGTTAACCCAAATCTTGCTCAATGCAGTCTTCATCACAAATTAATTACTAGGGTCTTCCAACCACATTTTTGATATTTAGGCATATTGGTACTGATATTATAGCACTAAACTTGCATTAGTATCTGAGCTAGTGGTGATCAAAAATTTTAAGATAATTCTCTCAGTTTTCACCTTACCCGATTCGTTTTGTTGAGTATTCGTTGGTATTAAGAACTGCATTAAGAATTCTGTCAAATATGTTAATATTTGATTCACACCGATTTTGAAAACTACCTTACAAGTCCTGTGACTTTCTATAATCTGGTAGAATGCTTTCCCAGTGGTCGCTTCCTTTCAGAGTCAGATGGCTCTTTATTTGGGGGTGACTGTTAGAACGTGTGTGTGTGTGCGTGCGCATGAGCACAAGTGTGTTTTGGCAAGCTTATGTTTGCAAACACAATTTGAAACTGTTGATGGTAATACAGTTTTTAAAAATGGTGTTCTTCAGGTACCGTTCAGGGAGGAGACAACTTCCAGATGGAAATGTCGCAAGTGGGATTCAGTGCGGATTACTCGCCTCAAAACGTGTGTATATCGTAACTGCAAGCCATGCTGTTACCTGGGATAACCCTTCTTGATAAAGCCTTTACATGTAAAAACTACACATAAAGTGGAACACACATCTAGTGATCTGCTTGCTTTGCTTGATGATCATTTACGTTTTGGTACGAGTAGCTTTTAACGATAAAGATGAAGGTTACTAATGCCTTCCCTTCCCTTCCACTATTTTCAAAACAGAAAGAGTATAGACAGAACAGCCTTTCAGTGGTCAAGGGCACAAGCACTATTTAAGCTCAAGTTATTATCCATGCAGGAATTTCCTTTGACTCAATTAATTACTGGAAACATTTCTTGTCAATACTGTCTGTGTTGAATTCCAAGTTACTGCAATATCTTTTTTTCGAAGAGATAAATTTAGAAAAAGAGAGAGCTAGGAAAAATGTGAGATGAGGGGCTGAGTCGTCTTCCTCAGAAGCACCCACGGCCCAGGCCTCTGATTCTAATTCTGTCCAAGACTGAAGTGGGATCGTAAAAAGGGGGGACAGGGACGTAAGGCTTGGGAAATGTTTTAGGGTCCCTATGGGCTCAGAGTTTGACCTGTTGCTCAAAGGATTAGCAACACCTTGCTCTCGGACTCGGAGAAAAGGGATGAATTTTCTAGAACAGCAGTCCTTAGAGGTACCTAGAGCGGCTAGGGACATTTACCTCAGGGGGTAAAAAAAAAACAACTAAAGATGAATATTTGCATAGAAAGCTTTGTACACACATCAATGAAATTCTTGTACATGCTTTAAAGTCCATTCATAAGCCTCCAATTTTGAGTTCCTGATTTCGTTACAATCAGGCACATAATTGCATGGTCTTTAGCTACAAGGTAGGACATGTGTTTTTTCTAGATGCTGATCTTTAATCCTGAATCACATCTTGTATGGTTTCTAAAACCTAATTTAAAAAATTTAAGGGCCCGGTGTGGTAGCCTAGCAGCTGAAGTCCTTGCCTTGCACACACTGGGATCCTGTATGGGTGCCGATTCATGTCCCAGCTGCTCCACTTCTCATCCAGCTCCCTACTTGTGGCTTGGGAAAGCAGTCAAGGACGGCCCAAAGCCTCGGGACCCCGCACCTGCATGGGAGACACAGAAGCTCCTGTTTCCTGGCTTCGGATCTGCTCGGCTCTGGCTGTTGTGGCCACTTGGGGAGTGAATCATTGGATAGAAGATCTTCCTCTCTGTTTCTTCTCCTCCTCTCTGTATATCTGACTTTCCAGTAAAAATAAATGAATCTTTAAAAAATAATTAAAATAGCATTTCCCGTTGTGACTGAACCTGCCTGCTGCAATGGCTTATGGCTCTGAACATTCAACGGGGAGGATGCTGAGGCAGGTCAGAATGACCAGCTCTTTTCTTCCAAGTAGAAGAAATGTCACAGCTACAAGTGTGTCTTGAGGTTGTGCTTTTAACAGGCGGGTGGGATATGGGTTCTAGAGGAACATCAGGAAGGAGTCACAAGGAAAACAGAGTTGGAAACGGTAGGTGAGAAGCAACTTGGTCAGGCGGGCGTCAGCTGGTAGAAATATTCCTGTTTCTCTTCTGTGGTCAGCACTTCCTGTTTCTCAAGCATGTCTCATTCCCGGCTGTGAGCTACTCTGGAAATAGGGAGGCCCACTTTGGGTTCCATTGTAATGGCTCACAATGGTTCAGCATTTGGAGCCTTTGGATGGATATTAAAGATGGCCATGTCCTGCCCTGTCTTACATCCTGTGAACAAGATTGAGCTGTGTAACATGTCATCCTGATTTATTCTGAGATGCCGATCTACACTTGTATGTTTTACTTCATCGTGTTTAACATTTTTCCCAAATCTAAATAATGCAGTTTTGCCTACCTACCAATTGTATACTTTAAATGTTACTTGTCTTAATTATCTTCATTTTTCGTTTCGTTTAGGATATTCTGATGCTAGGTGCAGTAGGAGCTTTTGGATGGAGTGGGACAGTTGTCCAGGGAACATCTCAGGAACATTTGATTTTTCCAAAGCAAGCCTTTGACCAAATTCTGCAAGACAGAAACCACAGCTCATATTTAGGTAAGGCAGAGCAGCACTAGGCTTCCTTTAGAGCAGCTGCTGGTTGAATCTGAGTCAGTTCAGCAAAACCTCTGAGCTGCCGTCTCCCTAGAAGTACATCCCCCGAAAGGCAACAGATGATGGCTCAAGCATTTGGGTCCCTTCCGCTCACATGGGAGATAAAGAATGGAATTCTTGACTCTTGTACTGCATGACCCATTCCTGGCTGTTGAGAGCAACTGGGGAGTGAACCCCTGGATGGAAGCTCTCAGGCTGTCTCTTCTTTCAAATAAGCAAAAACTATGTAAAACATATTAGATATATTGTATGTATGAGGCATATACATATCTTAATATATATTCTATACAATACATTAATGTGTAATAATACTTTTATACACACACACACACACCTCTTGGCCGTCGAAGCTTCAACCCATACTATATGAAACACTGTGTTACACTCCATAATCTCTTGTGGCTATGCCATTGGCTGTAATTCCTAGAACATGACTGTATTTCTCTGAAATGCAAATCATCTCTGAAAGACACTCCTACTTATAAAAGTGACAATATTGTAGTTCAGAATTCAGTCATTTTTTCACATAAGCCACCATACCTTTGAGAGACAGTGAGTTTAATAACTTGTCTAAAATAAAACAACCTATAAAATGGCGAATCCAGAACTTGACCTTGGGACTTACCCCAAGGCCTGTAATTTTCCCCCTACTCTACAGCATTTCCTTTTCAAACTCACTTGTTCATTCAAGAAATGCTTGTTGGGTACAAGTTCATAAGCTGATGAGAACAATCCAGAATCTGGAGTCTGCTTTCTTACAAGAGGGCCTACTTGTGGAGGGCAGCGGTAAAGGACAGAATCTAGGTACAGTTCATCTTAGCAAAGCCATTAGGAACTGTGCTTGTTGTCTAACATATGGGAACCTGTGATCAGCTACTGAGATGACACCTATGATTCTCTCCATCTCCCCTCATAGGTTACTCAGTGGCTGCGATTTCTACTGGACAAAGCATCCATTTTGTGTCTGGAGCTCCTCGGGCAAATTATACTGGCCAGATAGTGCTCTACAGTGTTAATGAGAATGGCAATGTCACAGTTATTCAGACTCACCGGGGTGACCAGGTAAATGCTATTGTTCCACATGGTGAAGTTAGTTTTGTGAAGAACTGGGGCATGTGGGGGGAGTTGGGTGGGTACAGGACTGCTCTGTGTCTGGCTCTGTGGTGTGATTTTCCACAGGTTCACAATACTAAGTAGCAGCATCACTATCCCCTTACGAGACAGGGAAGCAAGAGTTTAGGTATCTTACAAGGCCGCCCAGCACAGATGGAGTTGCTATTAAAATCCAGCCTATTTGAACTCCAAACCTGTGTTTTCTAATACATCCTCCCCTATTTTTGACTGCCCAGATTAATAACATACAGGTATTACTTAGTTGTGACGGTAGGTGCACTGAAAACCAAGCATTGGAGGAGAAATGATGAGAAGGGAGAGTTTTAACATTGTAAAGGCTGAGCGTTTACATGAGACCCCATCAAGATATCCTGTTGGTTTTGATGTTTCTGCAAGTGAAAGAATGCTCTTCTCTGCCAAGTTCTACTGCAGGGTGGCAGTCCAGGAATCCTAACGGTGGTGAGTTCCAGTGGCAAAGCTCTGTTACTACAGTCAAGACCAGCCAGCTGCTTCTTCTTTCTTTATGGAGCAGTTTTATCTGCTGACGTGGCACACATTTGAAATGGGCATCCCTGATCCCTGACCTGCAGAAAGAGTGGTCCTTCTTTGAGCCAGATTTCTGTTCTCTAAGCCCCGAGCGAGATCCCACCGTCACTGCTGGATTTCCTCAGCTCTATGACCACAGACTGCCTGTAGTCCCATACATGCTTCCCTGCCATTTAATATTTTAGAGAAGCATGTTTTTTTTTTTGTTTTGTTTTGTTTTGAGGAAAACAAAGTATTCCAGAGGCATAGTTGCTTATTCTTTTCTAAACCCCTTTGAAGCATTTTTTTTTAGCTGTGTATGTTGTTGAGTAGGATGAACTTTCAAAGTGTCAACTTAGTTTGCTGCCATTTTGTGCCCACATCCCAGTTGATCTATCAGTGACTCATCTGTCCCAGAACATGCTCTGGATACTCTGTCAGGCTTCTGCCTTCCTCTGTACCGAGAAAGCTCCTGCTCCTGCTTCAGATGCAACTAAAATAATACTTCATCTTTCTAGGTCTTCTGCTTCCACTTCACTCAGATTGCCCAGTGGCTGGGACTTCTATCACAGTGTATTTACCATGGAAGCACAATTATTCATCCCACACATACACTGTCTCTACCTCTCCTGCCTTTCTCTACAACACCCTGCATGGCTGCTACGGCTTCCGTTGTTAAAATGGGTCAATGTTACTGGCAGCAGAAACATCGGGAGTGCTTGTTTAAATTGCTGTTTTCTGAACCACATACTAGACACTGCATGGGACTCTTTGGGACTAGGTCTCGGGAATCTGCATTTTTTAAGAGTTTCTTTGTGCTTCCTGTGCACACTAAGATCTGAGAACCCAGGCTGACATAGTGTTGGATTCTGAGAAAACAGACTGCGCTGTCCATCTCTGTGTTCCTAGTGCTAGCAGGGAGTTCACACTCAATGCTTGCATGTTGAATGAGCAAAGGTAAGTTCAGTGCAATGGTTCCTCTCTGTGAATCCAGGCGTCCTGAGGCTACTGTGTTTTGTTGCTGCAGATTGGCTCCTACTTTGGTAGCGTGCTGTGTTCCGTTGATGTGGATAAAGACACCACCACAGATGTGCTCCTGGTAGGTGCTCCAATGTACATGAACGACCTAAAGAAAGAGGAAGGAAGAGTCTACCTGTTTACCATCAAGAAGGTAAAAGAAAAGAAGCTGACAGTTTGTTCTAATGCTGAGATATGAAAGTTAATCTGCATTTTAATGTATTCATCAGTAATCATTCATCTGCATATTGTATAACTTACATTCTGTTTCTAAAAATCTAACAATTTTTAAAATAGTGTTGAAAGGCACCTCACATGTAATGTCTAATGTACTGCCCTTTTCTGAGAGAGAACTTTGAATACATTTTTGCTTATTCAAATAGTCATGAATATACATACTTTTAAAACGTGTATCCAGACACATACACACTTTTGTGTATTTTCCAAGTATCATGTGAAATTTATCACTGCAAAGACAGAAAAATACCAGAGCAATACACTTGTTATTTTACAATGAAAAAGACAAGTTGTACTGGGCACTTTGGCAACCTACATGTGATCCCAAATGCTTTCTATTTTAGCTAGTCAGGAAATGCCATTGTTTAATGGAAGACTTAGATATATATGTCCAACTCTTGGAATTTCCAATCATTACCAATAAAACAGCACATTTGAATGCAGAAAAGAATCATGTTTTTTTTTCTGATTTGTAGACTGAATTCTAAATCCTTCCAGATTAAGTATAGTAAACTCAAGAAAGCAGAAAAGAAAAACTAAAAGAATAGGTTGTCATTGAAAAATAGTAACTTTAGGGGAAAAATGCAAAAAGAAGTTACATTTAATATAGTAAATATTCTTAATTTGGGATATTTTGTACTTCCTTATTCATATAAATTCCTGTTCAAATTAACAGAAATAAAGCTATTCTAAAACAATTATAACCACATATATAATTATATATATATTTGTTGCTATATGTATAATTTGTAATTGAGAATACAGGTAAATACATGCGTATTTACTTGAAAATTTAAGAAATTTTCTTTCTAAATCTTTCTTGTCAACATTTCTAAATTATCAGTAATTGTTGAAGATGAAAGATCTTCTACTGCCTAATAAAACTCAGTAGCATGTAACAGAAAAGAATCAGCACTGGCCCAGCTTTACCATTGAGGAGAATTCTTATAAGATATTTTCATAGCTGAATATAATATACATAGGAAAAACTATGCACTTGCAGGAAATGTCTTTTCCTTCAGGTAGAATTACTTAGTGTGTCCTATAATAGTAAATAACAACAATAACATTTTCCACTTCCTGTGTCATTTTAATTTTGCCACTATTCAGTCATTTTAAAGTAAAATCTAAATTATTTTGTTTCATGTCCACCTCAAGATATTAGTAGATTTTTGCTAAATACTAACAAAAAAAAAGGCTAAAGGAATGAATTCCTTTATGTAAACTACTCAGCTACTGTAAAAAGAATTACCGCATCTCACCTCCTCGGACGCACAGGTTTTTCTACCATCTTTAATTCTTATTCCAAAATCTCTTCCTAAATACGGTCTTTTGAATTCAACATTTGAAACCCTATCTACTTTTATCCTTTGGAAAATTAGCTTGGTCATTATGCAAGTTGTGAGGTTTGCTGCACTCATTCTTCCACCTCCATTTTCAAGGGAGTTTTGGATCAGCACCAGTTCCTGGAAGGGCCTGAGGGCGCTGAGAATGCACGGTTTGGTTCAGCGATTGCAGCTCTTACGGATGTCAACATGGATGGTTTGAATGATGTGATCGTTGGTTCGCCTTTAGAAAACCAGAACTCCGGAGCTGTGTACATCTACAACGGCCGCCGTGGCCCGCAGAGCACCATTCACACGAAGTACTCTCAGGTAATGTGTGAAGGCCGTGGCGACGTGTTGACCCCTTGTGTATCACCGTGTTGGTGCTACGGAATAGCAGCACAGGGCCCGTCCCTCTTAATTTGATACCCTCACATAGTCATTCAACAAGCACTTCTGCAGCTGGGCCTGGGACTATCCTATGAGCTGAGGCTTCTATGAAGAACAGGACAGAGACAAAATTCTGGTTTATGTGAACTTCTGGTGTAGGAGACAAATGGTAAAACAAACAAACCTGAATAAGTAAGATAAATTATTCCAGATAATGATGAAGACTTGGGAGTTTAAAGAAGATCACAAAATATCAAATATGAGACATACCAGTTGACTGAAAGCGTGACCAACTTTGAGTGAGACCTAAAGAAGACAGCTAGAATAAGGATCTGGACAGCTGGGATAGGAGCCAAAGCCCGAGCTTGCGTCAGCTCATTTCTGGTCCATTGCTTTTTTTGCCTTTTTAGGCTGTTCTGTAATTTTTACAATGAACATTTGTACTATTTCCTCAATAAAAGTGTGGCTTCCACAGTGACACAGAAATCAGATGTGATTTTTAAAAAAACCTGGAATTTCATGGAGAATGAAGGCAATGTGGAAAATAACTGGATAGTGAATATAGTAATGCCAGCCAGAGGTTGGCCTTCCTTCAGCTGTTTGGCACTGAAGTTCCATGTGAATTGTTTTTTCTTTTTAGAAAATCTTGGGATCCGACAGTTCCTTTCCGAGCCGTCTCCAGTACTTTGGGAGATCCCTGGATGGCTATGGGGATTTGAATGGAGATTCTATCACTGATGTGTCTGTTGGTGCTTTAGGTCAAGTGGTTCAACTCTGGTGAGTCTCTGGGAGCCAGAATTCAATCATGCCACCCCTGCATCCGCTGGAAAGGCTAGAATCCATGTGCCCTGTGACAATGTACACCTTACTGCTTCTAACTGCCTTGCAGGTCACAAAGTATTGCTGATGTAACGGTGGATGCTTCGTTCACTCCAGAAAAAATCACTCTGTTGAACAAGAACGCTCAGATACTGCTCAAGCTCTGCTTCAGTGCCAAGTTTAGACCCAACAGCCCTGACAGTCAAGTGGGTATGTGGATCTAAAATAATCTGGATAGTGATGGGTTTGCATATACAGTTTCAGCCCTGAATACAACCAGAGATTAGTTTATTTGTAGAGTTTTAGTTCTAAATATAACCTATGCTTTCAATTGTAGACCCCCAAAATTAAGGGTCTTCACTCACAGACACTTAAATTACCATGCATTTGAGATGCTTTCCAATGGTTCATTAGGTATGGAGGGGTTTGTTTATATTACCCCCCTCAACTCTAGAGGTGGCATCTAGAATGTTGTAATTGCTGTGGCATAATCACAGACTCTGCCCAGTCCATTCTTTGAGTGTCACTAACATGACATGCAAGTTCCTTGACTTAATCCTCAGGCATACATGCTCTCAGTGAGGCTTAGTTTTAAATAAGTATGATGTGTTTTGATTATATTATCCTCTAGACAGAATGTGTTCAAAATGCTTGAGTGTTGTTCCTGTTGTCACAAAGCTAACATGAAATACTGAACCAAAAATGCAAAGTCATACATGTTACATGTGTTTTACATTTTTTAAATAATCTAGAAGAATAAGCAAAATTCTGAAACAGATCCCATCAGCTGGTAAAATGAGAAAAACAACTGAGCAAATGACAGCAGAAATTTTGATCTTTCTCCCTCTCTCTCCCCCCCTCTCCCCCTCTCTTTCCCTTTCTCTCCCTCTCTCCCTCCCTCTCTCCCCCTCCCTCCCTCCCTGGGCTTGCCGAAGTCCTGCATCCTCTTCATAGTCTTTTCCAAATGTTCCCTCTCACCATCATCTTTTCTCCTCCACTGGCCTCTACACCCCCTGTGTAAAGCATGCAACTTAAAACTTGATTGAATTGCATTTTTTTTTGTTTGTTGCACTTTCATGGGTTCTAATCTTTTTCCATACAATTTTGGCTCTAGACTGCAGAACCTGTAAGTTTAAATAGGCACTGATTTAAGTGGTAAGCAAAAAACTTAAAAATCAAAACCATAAAGGCAAATTGTTTGCCATGACTTAGTGCAAGAAATAAATCAGTATGAACACAAAATAGAAGGTAGCCTCACATATTGGCACATTATCTTCCCACTTTAATACCCATCTGCAAAGCTTTCCTCAAGTGTTCAAGCAGTAATAACTGACAGCTTTCCTTACAGATCTGATTGTAGCACAGGTCTATCTGTGCAGCCATTATAGTTAAAATCCGTGGCTGTATAAACGTCGAGTTGCTAGTCTACCTGTAAGTTGGAGCTGGAAAATACAGTCCCTGGCAGCAGTGCCTGGCAGTTCAGCTCTTCTGGCAATGAACCATGCATGTGTTGACATCTTATATTTCTTGCTTTTTGACTGTTCTTTCATGCCTCTGTTGCTGCAAACTCAAAAATTCTGCCTTCAGAGACCTTTCTTCCCATGGATTGTCTGCCAAAGGTCTCAGAGATTTCACACTGTGTCTGTCCTCTGAGCCTGCAGGTCCAAACAAACCAGCCAGCTCATAAATCGTTTGTCACTTCATGGCCTGGCAAAAATGGTAGATCAGACGTGTATCCCATCTTCACAATTGTGGCAAGTGAATTTATAAAATACATGGTATTAATTATTTACTGTATCAGGTACACAGTTTAGGATAAAATTAATAATCCATTGCTTATGATACTATATATCATTTTAACAAGGCATTTAAAGTACCAAATTGTGTCATCATAGGCACTTTGTTCTACTTACAGTCACTCCCCCCCCCTTTATTTTTCCATTGCATTATTTTCACCACTTATTTTGAACCCATTTGGAGTTTTTGTAGTCTTCCTTTATTGGCTCTTAAAATCATTGGGAACAAGAAAGAGTACATGAAATCTCCAGTAGATACTTTAAGGATAACATGGAGAATTAATGTTACTGGAAATGTGTTCAAACTTTGAAACACAGAAAAGCAATAAAATAGGATAAAAGAAATCCCCAAATAAGGCAGCATGTGCTGTGAACAGCATCACATGTTCTTTCTTGTATTGAACACATGGCTGGCGGACGAAATGATTAGACATCATCATTCTGACAGTTTGGCTAATGTCGGGTTTTTCCTTTCTTTTTCTTTCTTTTTCACTTCCATGGGTTGATACTGTCTTTGAGTAAGCAAAGTCAGGGAGATTAGGTCAATTTGTTCAAAGTCACAGATTTCACAGACTGTGGATTTATGATTTAAACCAAGGCTGTCCAATTCAAGCTTCACAGTATCACATACCCTGCTCCATGTAAGCACCTAGAATAAGCCAGGCTCTAAGACTGTCTAATCCCCATAGTAATATTTAATTCAAACAATGGCATTGAGGCAGCAAAGACCACAAGCTGCAGTTTCAGAAAGACTTCCACTTTATTTCTGTCATGCCTTAGCTGTGTCGACTTTGGTGGATTAATTTGTCTGGTTTGTTACCTGAAAAAAAAGGATAACATTCTTCATTTTGAGGGTTTAGTGTTTAACTTACGTGAGATAACATGTGGGAGTGATGGTGAGCACTGTCACTTTCCACATCTTAGCCTTCTGGATCATGAAGCCAATGTTTAAGTAATTGACCAAAGTTGATCCGGTCCATTTCCTTATGGCAGGTGCAATTTTCTTTCCACTTCTCTAAGCCACATTTCATGTATCCACTGTCATTTATACCATCTCAGTTCTAGAATCACAAATGACGTGTGGTGCTATCCTTAGTCTACAATCCACCATTGCCAAGACTGTTCTCCATGTTTTCTAGAAGTCAGAGACTTTGTGCCATCAGATATTAATAAGCCAGGGATTTGCTTCCTTATAAATTCCTTTGTGGTAACGCTCCTTTGTCATTCGTATTGTAGCCATTGTGTATAATATCACACTTGATGCAAATGGATTTTCATCCAGAGTAACCTCCAGAGGCTTATTTAGAGAAAATAATGAAAGGTGCCTGCAGAAACACATGATAGTGAACCAACTCCAGAGCTGCTCTGAGCATGTGGTTCACATACAGGTGAGGCCTTGTGATCATGGTCACCTCATTTCTTCTTACAGAGTAATGACTGTTCAAAATCTATGAGTTGCCTTTGTAATTAATGCCCTTATTTAACTGGATGATCAAGAAGCTTCCTTCCTCTAAGTTAATACTTAACAGTCACATTCTATTAATATATGGTAATATTCAATTTTATTTAGGATTTTAAATGAAAAGGTCAAAAATAAGATAATTTTGAAAATCAAAAATACAGTGCTTTCTTAAATGTTTAACAGGTCTGAATTTCAGTTGGCAGTATGTTTTATTTCCTATCAGAAAATTTTACTCATTTCTAAGCTGTTGAAAATGATATTTCTAGCTGTAATTTACATGATTCTATAATAATTGTGGTGGGTTAGGAGGTAGTTTATTCTTGTCTTAGTGCCATAGTTTTGATAGTTCTGACAGATTTTTGAAAATCTCTCCAATTAGAAAAGTGCTTCTTGGGAAAAACTATTAACAAAAAAAAATTTTATAAATGGGTGATTATCTTCCCTTGATGGCATTATAATTGGTAAGTGTAATTCTCTCAAGAAGCAGCTTTTTAAACAAGCTGCTCAAGTTCTTGTCTCCGTATGTTTTGAGTCCAAAGTGCATAGGCACTGCCCAGCCTCCATCACCAGAAATTCAGATTTGATGGCTCAAGAAAAACATAGGTTTATATAGGGTTCCCCAGTTATTTCCAATGCAGAGTGAACCGGTGGGCATGTTGATTCTCTGCCTTTCAAATAAGTAAACAATATTTTTAAAAGGTCATAGCCAACAACCCAAGAAGCAAATACTGACAGTAACTGTCAATGCTTTGAAGCCAGAATGGCACCCACATTTGTGAAATGCCTGAGTTAATCACGATAATGGTGTGCTTAAATAAGAATCATGGCTTCAAATTTTTGCTGGATGGAAGTCACCGTAGCTTTCTTAATAGTGGAGAGGCTATAAGCAGAATTCTAACAAGTCTTGATCATTCAGAACAAGCATATTCTACCTAAGAGAACGCTGGCTATGTTTTCTATTGTAAATACAGTTGTGGACATTTTCTTGTTCAAAGCTGTTGTGCTCTAATCATTTGATTCTCATTCTCTCTCATATTCCCTCCCTCCTTCTCTCTCTCCCTCCCTCCTTCTCTCCCTCCCTCCCTCTCTCTCTCTCCTGTGTGTGTGTAGGAGCCCTCTGATGTTGTCAACGCTTTGGACCTGCATGTGAACATCAGTCTGGCAAACCCTGGCACTAGCCCTGCCCTGGAAGCCTATTCTGACACTGCCAAGGTCTTCAGTGTAAGTATGATGTTTCCTTCCTTTATTGACATTGGGGCAATTGCATCTTGTTTCAGTGGGCCTGGATTTGCTCCCACTAGGAAGGTCTAGACTGAGGTCCTAGCTTTAGCATGATCCAGACCCAGCAGGCATTTGGGAAATGAGCAAGTGGATGGGAACTCTCTCTCTCTCCTCCTTTCCTCTCTCTCTCTCTCTGACCCACTCCCCTCTTCCTATTCTCTCTCTCTCTCCCCTCTTCCTGTTCTTTCCCTCTCTCTCCCACCTTCTCTCCCTTCCCCACTATCTCCCTCTTTCCTTTTCTGCCCCTCCCCTTCCTCCCACTTCTCCCCTTCTTCTCCCTCATCCTCAATTTTTGCCTTTCTAGTTCAGTGCCCTATTTCCAATCCTTAGAGCAGTTCATGGCACACCACATATGTTTAATGAATGTTTATTGAAGGAACAAATAGAAAAAGCAAATACCTCCTGCCTACCACCCAGATATGGGAAGCTCTGTGCCTCCCACCACATCCACTGCAGTTCAGCTCCCCCAAATCAGAACAATGCACTGAATTCTGCATGTACCCATGTTTCTCATTATGACTCTGCTTAACATGTGGATATTCCTAAACACTGTTTGCTCTTGTGTGATTTTGCATATTGCATACATGAAATGATGCTACCTATTCCTCTGCCAATTTGGGATTCCCCCCCTCCCCTCTTTCGTAGATTCCTTTCTACAAAGACTGTGGTGGTGATGGGCTTTGCATCTCAGATCTGGTTCTCAATGTCAAACAGCTGCCAGCTGCCCAGTAAGTCAGATTTTAAAACTTTGTGTCAAATGTAGAAATGAAAGACACACTGAATTGCTTTGTTTAAATAATGTTAGTTTCTTCTACAAAAGAAATATCCATGTTAGTAACTGTAGTAAAACAAATTTTGATTTCTGCTATCTGCATAGATTTGTAGCAGCAAGAAATGCAAATCTATTTTATTTGGATGACTTCTAACTCGGTAATGTAATTAGACGCAATGAAGAAGAGAACCACATAGCATTTATTATTTCATTGTGAGCATCATTTTAATATGAAGATAGCTTATTATTAAGCAATTTTATCACTATTCCAAATAAATCTAGATTTATTTTTGAATGCATGAAGTTTTGAATACCAGCTTTTAAAATTTTCCTTTTAAGTTTTTTTCACTTTTTCTCCTTTTCACTTTTAACAGGGAACAACCTTTTATTGTCAGCAATCAAAACAAACGGTTAACATTTTCAGTAACACTGAAAAACAAAAAAGAAAGTGCATACAACACCAGAATTGTGATTGACTTTTCAGAAAACTTGTTTTTTGCTTCCTCTTCTCTGCCGGTATGTAAGACACTGTGTGCATACCACCGGTGGGTTTCCTACTCACAGGTTCCATCTTCCTTACAGTTAGTTGGATCCCCTTGTCCTGTATCTGTCCAAGGGAGCACACTCAACCCCAGCATGATGACTGCTGACCATGTGACTGTCAACTGTTAAACCACAGGAGGACACAGTCTGGCTCCATGTCTAGGTCAGATTGGGTCAGTTTTTCCTTCAACCAGATAGTTGGCCATGGTTGCCAGGCACTCCCATCACCCTCCCAAGCCATCCGTGTGATGTGCCTGCCATGGTGGTCATGAACTTGCTCAGAGATACTCCAGTACCACAGCCTAGCCTGAGCTTTTCAACCTCGTGCATCTTGCTGCTGCCAAGATGACACATTCCAGCAAAGCCAGGTCATCACACTGACTTGATCACCAAACCATCAACACACTGGACCATGTGTGCCCAGTGCTGCCTCCAGCACCAACAACAACAACAAAAAAAACAAAGAAAAGGAGATGCTGATTTTCCCAATTGAAAAAAAATATCAAACTAACTGCACCCTATTTAAAATTAATGTAAATGTAATACATTTAGAGTTGTGAACCTTTTCTTTGTACTTAGTAGTCTGTGGTTCAACTCCCAGCTCTAACTTGTGATTCCAGCTTCTTGCTAATGTAGGCCATGGGAGGCAACAGTAATGGATCAGATGTTTGGGTCCCCGCTGCCCATGTGGGAGACCCACAGTGAGTTCCTAGTACCCGGCTCCAGCTGTCTGGCTGCTGTGGGTGTTTGGAGAGTGAGCTAGGGAATGGGAAGTTATTCATTCTGTCACCACCCCCAAGTACATTAAATAAATAAGTAAATAACAAAACAGTCTATGCTAAATGTCAAAGAAAAAAACAAAAATTTAAAAATTTCTTTATTAAGAATACATAAGTAAATACTGATATGACTATCTTTTGTCTTAAATATGCAAATGTGTATAAAGATGTACTAAAAATAACATAAGTATTGAATCAAAACTTACTGTGTTTGTGAAAGACAATATCCACAATTTTCTTATGGGGGAGAAAAAGTTTTATACTAAAGCTCTTCTTTGGCTTGTGGGGTGTCCTGTTAGCAGCAATAATATTATCAGCAGGTGGACAATATGAGAATTTCATGTCATGGGGAATGATGAACTATATGAACTATTTCAGAGTGAACCAACCTTACTGCCAAACTATCCCTGTATACCTTTTAGTCAATGTGTGTGTGCAAAATCATTGATCATTTATGTGTCTTTGGTCATCTTCAGGTTGATGGGACGGAAGTGACATGCCAGATTGCTTCATCTCAGAAGTCTGTCACCTGCAACATAGGCTACCCTGCTTTAAAGGAACAACAGCAGGTACAATTGCATTTCAGCCTTGTATCCATCCATTCATGCTGGACCAGTCCTGGCATCTTTTGTACTGGGTATCATCATTTGGTGGGCGTCACTACATAATTGCCCCTATGCTTTGAGGAAGCTTTTATCATATCTGAATTTTGACTTTGTTATTAATAGGAATGAGGTCTCCCTCAAACAATGTATTACACACACACACAAACACACACACACACACACACACACACAGTATAGAATATGGAAAGCTCTTTTGCTGAATGTGTTGACCAAATTGCTATACATAGAATTACGGAAATTATTAGCTCTTTTTAAAAAATCTGTAGTTCCTTATTGAAGGGGCAGAGTGACAAAGGGAGAGGAACAGAGATAGCTTTCATCTTCTGGTCCACCTCCCAAATGGCCAGAAAGGAAGGAGTGCAGCCCAAGTGAGGACCCTGGAGGTCCACCCGAGGCTCACGCATGGGTGATAGGAGGCCAGGGTCTTGGTGGCACCATCTGCTACCTTGTCTGGTGCATTAACTTGGAGTCAGATGTGAAGCAGTCATGAACTACAGCTTCCATATGCAAAGCTGGCGTTGTGCCACTAACCTCTGGCCCCTAGAATACACCTGTTAACACCTTGTCAGAAAGTTTTCCAGTTCAGACGTATATGAGCACTTGTGTTTGCTGTTGAAAGTTAGGCTGTCCCAGTGCCAACGTGAGCATGCTAAGGCAAGATGAGTAAATAAAGCTATTCCAGACATCTGAACACTGAAGGCAGATAAACTACAGAACCAAATGAGTTTATTTTTAGGGCAAACATTTTTCCCTGAGTGTGATGTAAGCTTGACAAATATTAATTTTGTGTGTAGGTGACTTTTACTATTAACTTCGACTTCAATCTTCAAAACCTTCAGAATCAGGCATCTGTCAGTTTCCGAGCCATAAGGTAAAACACAGTGAAGTCATGAATTGATGACGTGTGTCTTCTGAAATATCTGTAAGTAATGTCCTAATGCTTGTTTCAACAGTGAAAGCCAGGAAGAAAACGTGGCAGATAATTCAGTCAGCCTCAGAATACCTCTCCTGTATGATGCGGAGATTCACCTGACCAGGTGAGAGGGCAGTGGGCAATGAGTAGCTTAATGCCAGAGACACCACCATGGCTTCAGATACATTTGTTGTGATGAACAAATTCCTGAATACAGAATTCTTAACAGAAGAATGTGGACGAAAACATTTCACTCATACTGGCAGTGTGAGTTAAACTGCTCTCTGCAGCTCTGGCATTCTATATGGGAGCACAGGTATATGTCCTGGCTGCTCCACTTCCAATCCAGCTTCCTGCTAATGTCCCTGGAAAGACGGTGGAGTATGGCCTATGTCCCTGGATCCATGCATCCATGTGAGAGACCCCTAGCTGTTGTGGCCATTCAGAAACTAAAGGACCCCACCCTCAACTGAGCTGCATTTCAAATGAAATAAATCCTTTTTAAAAAAATGAAAGTCCACAGACCAATTTGACTCTAAGAAAACTCCGAGTGACTCCTTAATTACTAGTAGCACACAAAGGCAGAGGACATCCCCTCTGCCACAGGGACGTCTCCTGGGAGCCCTGAGAGGAGCTGCGGGCCTTCCCGAGATGTGGAAACAAGACTCGGGAGGGTCCCAGAGAGTCACCACGGTTCCTTCTCTCTGCCCACTTCCTTCTGTCCACATGAGATCTCAAGCAATCCCTCTGTAACTTTCCAGCTCCTAGCATAATGAATACATTGCACATTGTGGTTCACTGCTAATACTGTGTCTAGTCACAGGTTCAACAGTCAGATACTGAAAGTAGATCTGATCTAGTGTCCAGGTGGAACATTAACAGTTGCAGTTTTCTTCCACCAAGTAGGTAGTGAGGGATTTTCCAAAGGAAGGCTTCCATGAAGAAATGCTTTAATCCCTTGTCTTGCCTCCCCAAAGTTAGAAAACCAGGCACACTGGTATTGGCTAATATCATTACCTTGAATTGTTGAGAGAAAGAGGCTTCTTGAGAACTGGATAACTTACAATTACCAAGGGTATTGATAGGTTCATTTCACATTAGCTCACAATTGGACGTGCGTCAAGTTCGTGGCATAGATACTGAGCATAAACATGCAAGCACATGGGGCAGCACACAGTGCTCACCTCCAGCTTGGGACCCAGAGGGCTCTGTCTACTGAATCTTTAGATTGTTGATTCCCAGCTGAAATCCATGACCCCTGGCGAATACGTGGCAGTATTTTCCCAAGTTCAGAGACAGGTCGCAGTAACTCCCGCCACATCACTCTGATGCATTGTTGAGCAAAAAGCAAAAGGAAAATATGCCATCATGTCTAGAGCCTGAGCCACAGGAGCAGAGATGAGAAGAATTCTTCTGTGTCAAGTGCGTGGCAGACAGCGCAGGCAGGAGCACGATCCAGCCTAAGCCATCAGCCCTGAAAAAGCAATCAGGAGCTGCAGCTTTCCAAAGACTCCCAGTTGCTACACGAAGTAATTGAAAACAAATGCAACCAGAGAGATTGCTGTTGCCACATTACCTGAACCCCTACTTCTTACTTTTCCTCTTTGGTTTGGTCAGTAGAGCTTTGTTTTATGGTTCTATACTTCCAATTTTTTTTCATGTATATTAACACAAATGTAAAAGATGGATTTCCCCCCCCCCAACATCCTACCCACGTGTTTTTCTGGTGGTATCTTGGATTTTAATACGTTGTAGTGATTTAATAAAATATAGTTAAAATTTTAATACAGGGAATTACAAGGAACAAAAGCTAAAATGTTTCCCAACACTATCACCCAGATGAATCCTAGTGGATAACATTTCATTAAAAGTTTTCCTTAAAAGCATCATGGTGCTGAGTGTGGTGCTGGGATCCCATAAGGATGCTGGCTCAAGTCACAGTTGCTCCACTTCCTGTCTAATATGCTAATATGTTTGGGAAAACAGAAGATGCCCCAAGAGCTTGGGCCCCTGCACCCACATGGGAGACCCGGATGGACTTAGACCCTGCTGGCATTGATCTGGCCCATCCCCAATCAGTGCAATCTGGGAAATGCATCAGAGACGGAAGACCTGTCTTTCCCTCTCTCAATTCTGCCTTTCAAGTAAATAAGTAAAATCTTTAAAGGAAAACGATCAAACAGTGAAGCCATTCCTGCCACCTTTCCCCTTCCCTTGTGCTCCATTTCCTGAATATCACTAAGTTGAATGTTTTTAGAATTACCTTCCAGGTACACAACTTGTTTCTCTACCACAGTATATGCATGTAACATAAATGGGTAATGGTAGAACACTCCTGTACCTTTTAAGGTAGTCTTAAGTTTTCAATATGAAGACATATTTAGCTTGCTCAATTCTTGCCTGAATCATAATTCATGTAGACATTCCAATGTTAATGAGAGAAGGGATTATTTTGCATTTTAATTATGTTTAAATGCCTCATGCCATGCAAAAAAAATGATAAATATACCACACATTTTCTGCAAATTTTGAAAGATACTATTATGTCAATTACTTAGCAAGCACTCTGATTCCTGTATGAATATACAGTTACCTTGTACAAATGTGGGAGGTGGAGACAGACAGTGCTACAGTTATTTCAGAAATAAGATTCCCTGACTGCAAACATATTGATCAAAGCTGAGGTAATTTGAGTAACACTTGAATAACAAATGGGAAAAATGTAGGATCTTTTCAAAAATATAAAATAACATATTGTTCAATTTAGAAGTTGGCAGAGTTTAGGGACTTGCACAGAAAATCTCTGGAAAGCAAAGCCAGTTATTCATGTGCACACAGCCAAGCCTTCGGATTCAAAGCCAAGTCACTTTTCCCAGCTTCCATGTGAGGCAGACAAGTCACTGCTTCCTCAGATACGCATAACCTTGACCACATCTATTTAAGTCTTCCTATGATATATTTTCCTTTCGAGATGTTGGAGAAGTGTTTTTTACAGCTTGAGAAATTAGAAGGACACAGTTTTGTCAAGGAAACAATTTTATATCAGGAAATTTCCAGTCTATTTTTTTAAGGAAATATAAACCATATACTGTAATAAGAAAATTCTCTGTTTTAAAATATTTACTTTTTTATTTCAAAGGCAGAATTATAGAGGGAGACACAGAGATAAAGAGATCTGTCTGCTGGTTCGCTCCCCAGATTGCCAGAACGGTCAGTCTGAATTATGTTTCTTCCAGATCTCCCATGTTGGGGACAGGGGCCCCAGCACCTGGCCGCCTTTGACTGCTCTCCCAGGAGCATTATCAGGGGGCAGGATTGGTAATGGAGCAGCCAGCACTTGAACTGGCACCATGTGGGATGCCAGCATTGCAGGCAGCCACTTTCCCGACTATGCCACAGTCTACAAATTTTAGCAGAAAAAAAAAGAATGTGTAGTGCTTTTTCAGACTCCTGTGCCAACTGCCTGTTCCTCTAGCCCTGACCACAGAAGCTGGCCTGCTGGGAATCCAGCCTCAAAGTTTCAGCAATGAGCGAGGACACAAAAGGGTCCCCAGTTTCATTCCAGTGTGAGTGGTCCAAGGAGGTTTGTCTTACCTAGTTAGTAATTGTGAAAAGTCCCTAGGTGGCCATACTTTTAGGTTGTGAGAGGAGAAAGCTATCTTTGGTGCATCTGAAAGGTACCCTCTATATTACAGAGGGGACTGACTACAATTCAGACTCAAACCATTGGACTAGACTTGGAACCAGATAGGAGAGGAAGGATGAATAACAAAATACATACACATCACCAGTCTTAGGAGCTAACACCCAATACGCTGTCACTGTGTTCCATCCACAGCAAGTAGAAAACCCCTGGCTTATAAATCCAGGCAGCCCATTAGCAAGGACTGGGGGTCCACCATGTTAGAATACCAGCTGGTAAGGAAGTAGCCCTCAGATGGATTTCCCCATCAGTTCTGCAATAACATGTTTGTATTCATTTTAGAGACATCATAACTTACAAACATATAACAGAACATCAGCAGAAAGACCAGGAAGGGGATATGTTTCGAAAGAAATCTAGTCTTGGCCAGAAGCCCATAGTAAACATTGCTTTTAAATGAGTGCCTTTATAAAACACTTTTACCTGTAATCTAAACTAAAGATGCTAAAGAAATATGAAGCTTTAATATGAGTAGAGGTGGGCACTGTACAGTGTGCATGGGGTTAAACCTCTGCTTGTGTCCCCTGCATTCCATATTGAAGTACCAATTTCAAACCCAGCTGCTCTTCCACTTCTGATCTAGCTCCCTGCACATTGTCTCCTGGGAGCCAGTGCACGATGATTCAAGTGCTGGGGCCCATGTCACCCATGTGAGAGACCTGGTGAAGTTTTGAGCTCCCAGCTTCGGTCTCTCCCAGCTCTGGCTATTACAGGCATTTGGGAAGTAGATGGACGATCTCTCTCTCTCTCTCTCCTCTGTCTCAATCAGATGAAAAATAAATAAAAACTTGTTAAAAATGACTTTTTAAAATGTTTGGCTTTCTAATCAACATCCAACAGATCTACCAACATCAATTTTTATGAAATATCATCGGATGGGAATGTTCCTTCGATCGTGAACAATTTTGAAGATATTGGTCCAAAATTCATCTTCTCCCTAAAGGTTGGTAAGCCTTTCCTCAGGGTGGCAAATTAGGAGAAAGGGGAAAGAAAAAAATGAGCCTAGTAAGAAGGAAAGAAAATAATATCATAGTGGATCTCAAATTTGAATGTTCATCAAGAACATCTGGAGAAGTTGCTAAAACAAGTTTTTCCTAGGATTTCTGATGTTTCTGAGTAGCTCTGGGTGAAGTCCGAGTCAAGAATGTGCGTTTCTAACAAGTTTCCAAATGATGCTGAAGCTGCTGGTTTCCAAGCCACGCTGTGACCGGCACAGGATGGACCACAGAGAAATAAATTACTGGGGTTTGTGCCTGGTGATCTGTCCTGGATAATGGTACTTGGATACTGGGAAGGCAGAGGCATACTGTTAAGGGAGATGGGCAAGACTGGGTTAACATCCTTGAAACATGATGATTGCATTATTTTTTCCATGCAGACTATTTCTATTGGGGATGTATAGATCTGTGTACAACTAGAGTATTAGGTAATATCAAAGAGGTTTTTTTTTTTTTTTTTTTGGCCCAAAATCTATCACTGTGCAAACACAACTATCTTTTTTTACTTGAAAGAATTTCCTACAAAGAGAAGGGAAGACCGAGATCTTCCATCTGCTGGTTCACTCCTCAAATGGCCACTACAGCCACAACGGGGCTGATCCAAAGCTAGGAGCTTCTTCTGTGCCTCCTACATGCAGACCTGTGCCAACCTCCCATGTTTTCCCAGGCCAGTTACAGGGAGCAACCAGGACACAAGCTGGTGCCTATGTGGGATGCCAGCACCACAGGCAGAGGAGCAGCTTGTATACACCAGTCCCATCAATAGCCAGTGTGAACTGCAATTAGTACAGCTTTATGTGCATAGAAGTTGGTTTATTAAAGAATGTTTATAATTATGTTACAAAAATTGTGGGAAAGAAAAAGCAGTTTATTCACCACCATTAAGTCAATACTATTTTAATATTTTTAAAGATTTATTTATTTTTATTGGAAAGTCAGATATACAGAGAGGAGGAGAGACAGAGAGGAAGATCTTCCATCTGCTGATTCACTCCCCAAGTGACCACAACAGCCAGAGCTGAGCCAATCTGAAGCCAGGAGCCTGGAGCCTCTTCTGGGTCTCTCATGCGAGTGCAGGGTCCCATGGTTTGGGCTGTCCTTGACTGCTTCCCCAGGCCGCAGTCAAGGAGCTGGATGGGAAGCAGGGTGGATGGGACACGAACTGGCGTCCATATGGGATCCCGGCACATGCAAGGCAAGGACTCTAGCCACTAGGCTACCATGCCGGGCTCAATGCCAATTTAGTTTTTTGTTTTGTCTTTTAAACATTTCCTACTTATTCTGTTCCATGACTGCCATCCTCGTATTTTGTAATTTTTTTAATCTTTAAAATAATCTTGATTGTTATCTAGTTACTGGCATTTATAAAATGTGCATGGCATTTGACAGCCAAGTTCTTTAATGGGATATTGAATTAATTCCTAATAACACAATAGCATTCATAGTGTCATAATTACACCAGCTCATCAATTGCTTTACAAGCTGCATCTGTTTAATTCCTAGATGAGTTACGAGGTTGATACTATTTCTGGGGATGTTATAAAATGCCTAGGAGGGCATAAGTCCTGGTCAAGTAGAATAGGAGCCCCCTTAGTAACAAACCAGGGTGCACTCACGGAATGTTGGATCACTTTTATTCTATAAAGGAGAGGACTGGAGCACAGAGAGGCTGAGTTGTTTGTCCAAGCCACACTGCTGTTGGTAGGTGAGACCACACCCTGAACCCACCTCCACAGATGGCATTTCTGTAAAGATTTATTTTTATTGGAAAGACTGATTCACAGAGTAAGGAGACACAGAGAGGAAAGAGAGGGGGGGCTCTTCCATCCACCAATTCACTCCCCAAATGGCTCCAATGGCTGGAGCTAAGAGGTTCCTAGCCCAAACCAGAAGCTTATTCTTGGTCTCGTATGTCAGTGCAGAGGCCCAAGGACATGAGCCATCCTAGACTGCTTTCCCAGGCCATGAACAGGGAACTGGATGGGAAGTGGAGAAGCCAGGACTTGACCTGAAACATACATGGGATGCTGGAGCCACAGGCACAGGCTTAACCTATGATGCCGTGGCACCAGCACCCAGCCATAGGTTTTTTTTTTTTTTCATCATATATAGGCCACAGTTATCAAGCCATCAATTATTTATTCATTGAAATTACAGAGGTTGGGATTTTTTTCCCATGAAGTGTTGAGACAGAGGTTAACAGGGTGACAACAGGTAATGATTCATTTTCAGAGGAACTCAGTCTTCCCACTTTGTGGTTCAGCCTAATCTACACAAGGACTACTGCCCCCTTGCCTTGCATCACATGGCAATGCTAGTCTTGCTCTATGTTCCCAGGTAACAACAGGAAGTGTCCCTGTCAGCATGGCATCTGTGATCATCCACATTCCTCAGTATACCAAAGAAAAGAACCCCCTGATGTACCTGACTGGGGTGCACACGGGACAGGTAAGCATGATGGTGGGCTGGCAAGATGTGCATTTTTCAGGGTGAAAATCCATGAGGTTATTAACATGTATGACATTTATAGTTGGAAGACAGAAGATAACAGTGATGTGTCCTGAGTGACAATTAGTTGATTTCACATTAGAAGCACAGTATTATAAATAGGCAAATGTCTGAGTCTAGGGACTTAGCAGTGGCAGAAATTATCCCCAACGCTCTGTTTCACCAAGTGAAGAGCTGATTTTATTGGCATTATCTTAAGAAGGAGAACAGTCTGTTTGCAAGTGGGGAGTCTACAGGAGGAGCATTGCACGTCTACCCAGCTGCAACCGGTAGCCAGTTGCTCTGGTTTTAAGGTTTATTACCCTGCACAACTTGTGCTGCAGTGTAATTATCATGTGTCAGTGTTAAGATGTGGGGCCTTTAAGAGGTGACTGGATCATAAGGGTTCCCAGTCATGGACAGCATCGGTGTCCCCACAAGCAGGAAACTCAGGCTTTCCGTATGCCCCTGTCACTCTCACCTCCATCCATGGCTGAAACAGCCAACCAGCCCTGAAGATGCCAGCAGCTTGGTATTCAGCTCTCCAGTCTCTAGGTCTGGAAATGAATCAGTGAGCCTTCATTACAAGTTCCCACTCAGCTATTCTGTGAACAGCAGCAGGAAGCAGGCCAGGACTCTGGTCTTCAAGCTGTCAACCTAGACTTAGCTCTTGGCAGTCCTCAGCCCTAGCTCTTCATTTTAAAGAGCTGGTGCTCTTCAGTCAGGATGATGCCCAAGGCAGCTAAGTCAGAATATCCAGAGCTCTGACACCAGTACTTTTTTATGAGCCCCTTAGGTATTTCCACCATGTGACCTGGGTTGAGGAGCACTGTTCTGGTGAGAACACTTGGCCTTGGCTTAGGCTAGTTTACCACTTTGCTGGTCCTACAACAGTCTGATTCCTGCAGTGTGCACAGGTGACTAGACAACATCAGTCTCCTGAAACTTACATTCCAATCTCATGTGTCTCATCACATAACAACCCATAGCCCATCTCATCAAGTCACATCAGATGATTTGAGTACTTCCAAGTTTACCGTAGCAATGATGGGAAATGTAGCCAGGTCAGCACAGGGAGACTACCAGACCCTGTTGACTCCCCAGGGTGTGTCTTGGGATTTCCTGACATCATAAAGTATTCTGCTGCTTAAGGCTGATCTGGTGTTCTTCTTTGTAGACTGGTGACATCCATTGTGATGCAGAAATAAATCCACTGAGAATTGGCCAAGCACCATTTCCTGTATCTTTCAAGAGTGAGAATTTTCGGCAGATGAAAGAATTGGTGAGGATCAGCATACGGGTGACACATTTCTCTCAGTGATTCGCTGTTTTTTACCTGGAACCAAAGCACCTTTTCCAGCCACCTGATGGTGTACAGCATTCTCACTTCACCCTGATGGCTTACATGAGTGTAGGTTTAGAAAATACTAATCATGCTGAAGTTTAGGCTTTGGAAAGGCAGGAGGTAATGGGTTAAGTAGTTGGATCCCTGCCACCCACATGGAAGACTCAGATTTCCAAGCTCTTGGATTTAGCCTGGCCCAACCCCAGCTGGTCTGGGTGTTTAAAGACTGAACAAATAGATGGAAACTAGCAGACATTTGCTTCCTTTATTGTGTATCAATTCAGGTAGTTTCAAATATGTGTATGCCATTATGCAAATGAGTCATGCTAACTTTTGGTGTTTGACATAGACCAGTATGTCACACATTTTTGAAAACTTTGTTAAAATTTTCACTTTGGTTTTTATTTGAACAGAGAGAGAGAGAGAGAGAAAGAGAAATCTTCCATATACTGGTTCATTCCTCAAAACACCCACACCAGCCAGGTATGGAAAGGACCAAAGCAAGGAGCCCAGATCTCAGTCCAGGAGTTTCACCGAGGTTAATGGGCCTCATGTACTTGAGCCATCATGTCTCCCAGATGCTCATCAACAAAGAGCTAGATCAGAAGTGGAGAAGCCAGTGCTCCACTCGGACCCTCGGGTGACAGAGGTGGCTGTCTCAGGCAGCACCTTAGCCACAGTGTCCAGTACTGGCCCTCGAGTTTGTTTTGGAGAAGTTTTAGGCTCATGGTAAGATGGAATGTAGGGATCTCCAGAAATTTTGCAAATGCTTCTTGTCATTACATATCCATAGTGTTTTCTACTAATGTTTGTTATAATGGATGAACTTACAGTGATACAGTCTTTTCCCATAGTTTACACTTGACTTCACTGTAGTAAAAATCCAACTACATGCTGCCAGATATTACAGTGATGTGTGTTCCATCACTGCACCCAGGGAGGACTTTTCACTGCCCTGGAAAACCTCTGCCTTACACCCCATCCCTCTCTCCCCTAGTCCCTGAGAACTGCTGATCTCAGCTGTCAACTGTTTTTTTTTTTTTAACCTAAGAAATGGATGTTCGAGATGTATCTGAAAGGCAGATTTACAAAGAGGAGAAACAGTTTTCCGTGCACTAGTTCACTCCCCCAAATGACCACCACAGCCAAAGCTGAGCCAATCCAAAGCCAAGAGCCTCTTCCTGTCTCCTATGTGGGTGCAGAGCCTCAAGGCCTTGGGTCATCTGCTGCTGCTTTCCCAGGTGATTAGCAGGGAGCTGGATCAGAAGTGAAGCAGCCAGGATTTGAACCATTGCCCATCTGGGATGCCAACACTACAGCTGGAGGATTAGCATGCTGTGCCACCACACTGAGTGCAAAATGAATGTTTTATGATTCAGTTTAGTGACTATGTTCAAGATTTTAGTAGTATATTGCTGACAAGCATGTATCATTTGTGGCTTTTTGTTTTTAGAGTCACTGCAGCACACAGGCTTGGTGCCACACATATCTGATGAGACAGACAGGAAATGACAGGGGCAGGGGAGATGCACTTTTCATATTTTAAGACATAGTACCAGAATTCCAGAATACAAATGGGGTCTAGTAGTTGATGAGACTGGCTGCCTAGTGCCTTCCCACCACCAAGGTTCGTCTGTGTTTCTGAAACGTTAGCATTTATTTATTTTTTTTAAATAAACCCATAGCAACCCTCTCTCCTCTTTTGCTATTGACTCCAACCTGAAAGAATTGCAGAACTGCCTCGTGTAGTAACATCACCTGCAGGCTGACAGACCTTCCCATGAGAGGAGAGTACACCATCAATGTGTCCACCAGGATCTGGAACTGGACTTTTGCAGCAGTAAGTATCGCTTTACCAACTGGCTTCATCAACAGCCAGGAAGAAGGCTCCACAGTGGAGCCAACCTGACCTTATGGCAGAATTCATACACTGGCTAATATCACCCTCCTTTGGAAAGACTGGATGATCTTCCGGTTACAAAAACTGGGTATTCTCAGACCACCTGGGAGAGCCAGTCTAATACGTGGATCCCATTTCATGCATTCGAGCCCATTAATGTTCAAACTTTCATTGCATCCCACCCCTTCCAAACCCCACTCCCACCCCTGTGGGCGGTGGTGCAAAAATCAGGAAGTGATGGCTCAGCTCTTTAAGAGCAGCATTGTAAAGTGAAGGTTAGCAGGTGTGTCACCAGATGTGCATGGTTTACCTGCCTCTCTGTGTTAGCCCTGCAAGACAGCGTCAAATGCCTCTGCCAAGGCAGGCAGCCATTAACAGTGCTGTGAGACAAATGGTTCTTCTGGAACTGACAGGAATTATAGAACCAGAATGCAGTGAGATGTTACCAAATGTCCCATCAGCAGTAGATATTTAACAGTGAATGGGGTTAACCTCTGCTGCAACTGGCCATCTTGAGAAAAATAAGACTCACCAGAGACTGAGCCAATGGAAAGGAAATAAGTTGCTCACTTTTGGGGAGATATGTTTTCTTTTTTCTGGCTCCCAGATATAGTTTAGCAAATGACCTCATGAAGTCTGTTGGGGTGTGTGCCCTGGTAACCAGAAAAAACTGAGTGCTACCGGCCAGGGCATGTCAGGGCTGCGGTAAAATCTGAACACTGCAATCTGTCTCATACTAAGGATCTGGTCCAGTATTTGCATTATAGAGAAAACAGTTGTGAAATGCACCCATCTAGAATGTTTCCATTTAAAAATATTTTTCTATAACTCAGTTAAGCGTATGAAGTTGCTTCGCATTAAAATAGTATTAGTAATGTCAACAAAAAATAAATGTCCTTCCCATATGCCTGTCCCAAATCCAGTATGATCTGGTAGAAACACCTGGATTAGGAAATCTGTAATTATTACTGATGTGATGTATAACATTGCCAAAAGATTCAGGTGTCTACTGCCAACATGCCTGGTCAAGTTCAAGTGTACTGTTGAACAGTGTCATTCTATACACATGGACCCAAAAGGAAAACTCTCTTCCCTGCTAAATATTGGTTTTCCATTTCATTATGTGTGACTCATTCAAGTAAGTATACAAAAAGACTAAGCCTGCAGTTTGTTCATGTTGCAAACTCCATTTAAGCCATCTTCCCAGGTAAAAACAAGTCTCTTGGGTGTGGATTCTTGGCACAGCAGTCAAGCCGCTGCTTGGGAAAGCTGCATCCAATCTGGGCCAGCCCTGGTTTGGAGTCCCAGCTTGACTTTTGATCCAGTTTCCTGCTAATGTGCACCCCGAGTGGCAGCAGGTGATGGCTCTCAGAGTGTATGCCATCCACACGGAAGATCTGGATTGAGCTCCAGGCTGCTGTGGGCATCTGGACCCCATCGCTCCAGAGACTTGGTTTGGATTTGAAGAAGCAGAGCCCCAGTGTCTGCATATTTCAGAAGCTCCCCAGCTACCTCTGGGGGGCTGCGGTGCTCCGCACTGCCAGTTGAGTGCACTGTCCTCAGATTCTGCCTCCTTTTACTTACTTGAGAGAGGCAGAGGTGCCCTGTCCTCTGGTTCACTCCCTGGATTCCCGCAATGGCTTCAGCCTAGCCAGAACTCAGAAGTCCATCCAGGTCGCTCACGTGGGTGTCAGGGAGCCACCTGTGCCTTACAGGGTCTGCATAGTTCTAATTTCAGAATCAAGATCAGAAGCAGAGGATTGAAAGCAGGCACTCCGATGTAGGATACAGGTATTCTAACGTTAGTCTTGACCACTGAGCAAAATGCCTGCCAACAAGTTCTCCAGAACTTGCATTTTCTCATTCTTTTCCATTAGGAAGAAACAATCATAACCATGGATACCTTAAAGATTTACTTGAAAGAGTTGTATGGAGGGAGGGGGGAGGGACGGGGAAAAAAGAGAATGAACGTGCACATGTTCTTCTGGCTTCTAGGTCACGCACTGGGAGCTTCTTCTGGGTCGCCCACGTGGGTGACAGGGACCCACTCAGGCATCTTTCTCTGTTTTTGCCAGGTCACGCGAAGAGACCGCTGTCTTAGAGCAGCTAGGGCAGGAACCTGTGCCCATATGTGGTGTCTGTGTTACAAGTGGTGGGTTTACTAGCCACACCGCAACCACGCGCTCCTAAAACATACTCTTTGTTCTTGCATTCTAGTCATCTTTCCAGGCGGTACAGCTGACAGCGGCCGCGGAGATCGACACTCACAACCCTCAGATATTCGTGATTGAGGAAAACACCGTCACGGTAAGCAGAAGCCGCCCTTCTCACTCCCTTGCATGTGGGAACACCCTATTGAAACTTACAGCCTTGGACGGCTATAGCAGAGAGTTTTTCATAAGGGTGTTTGCTGCTTAAAAAGTTCACTGACACATTTGGCCTCCTCCTTACCCCCGTGCTGGCAAAGCTGGCTTTTCTACAAGTAATGATCTAATCCAAGTTCTAACAAAGGGGGCTGTATCTGATTGGGAGCTTGCTGGAGTCCCTTCTCCAGGTCAGACCTGGCAACACCAGTTCATCTTCATGCCCACACACAGTCATCTAATCTTAGGCTACCAAATCCAAGTTTTAACTGACAAGTTGCATTTTAGAGGATTTTTTGAAATAGGCGTGCTGAAGCATGCTTAATCATTAAGGCATTTATTAGAGGACTGTTTTTTTCCTAACAGTACTTCTTACCAACAGACACTGATACTGTGTGACATACTCATTCATTAAGTCGTACGTTCTCAAAAACTGTAAATGCTCCCCTTCATTTCAAAGCTTCTGCAGAGAAATGTACTCCCACAGAAAACAAAGATTCTCTGTACCAAGAGCTGGCACAGGACCACTTTCCTCTGCGCTGAAACCCTGCTCGGAATATGCCAGATTTAGATCCAGCAGGATTTCCACGCCTGGCTAATCTGCTGGCACAGCCTTGTGCATTTTCCTCCCCAAGCTTTTGTGAGGAACTGGAAGCCAGTTCATGACTCTGCCCCCCAAGGCCAGCTTGGCAGTTGGCCTCAGTTCACTTCTTTAGAGCCTCTAGACTTGGCTAAAAGACCCGTGGCCCCGTGACCTTGGGGCCACTCACAGCACTGCTGTCCCCCTCCTTGTCCTAGGGACAGGGGTCCACCCTGCAGAATACCATTCTGCTTCTGCTTTAGGAAGCCCCGTGAAAGTCCACACCCTCTCTTTGGAGGCTCGGGCATGGAAAGTCAGAAATGGGGCCAAAGAAAAACTAGACTGCAGATTCAAAGTGCTATGAACTTATCCTAGGGAAAAAAAACTCATTTCAGAAAAATGCAGTGTTGAAATCATGTGGAATTTTGGAGTCTTAGTTTTATAGGAAGTAATGTTAAACACATTAATTGAAAATTCACAAATTTTAATAAACCTTTTTTCTTGAACCCTCTGAATAATAGAGGTCAACTTTGTCTATAAAAGTATTTTTAAATTCAAACAATAATTTGGAGTTTTTGAATCATGTTTCAAGTCCAGATAATAAATTATCATTATCCCTGGAGCTTAGTGGTTGGGTCCCAGGCTCACAGAATCTGATCCACAAAAGTCCATACTTGTGGATCCACAGGAACATGCAGATCCCAGATGAGGAGACCAGGAATAGAAAGAAGCAGGCAGAGGGCTACTCTTAAACAGTGAACAATAAGAATTTATAATGTCTTTTCTCCATGAACTGATAAATCCTTATTTGAGCTCTCAAACACAAACATTAAGACGTAGTCACCAACCAAGGCCAGGTTCAAGTGTAGCCCGATCCATAGAGGATAGTAAGCAGTCGCTCATTTCCTGCCATCTAATGCTAAATCAAGTCAATACATTAAATATTGCACTCTTTTGGTCTAGCACGATGGCTCTTTATATTTTGTGAAGAAAATGGCTAGAATTCACAGCTTAATAAAAATGCAGTTTTATCTCAAACTCTCGGAGTATCCATCCTGTGACAGGAGCCTGAGATCGACACACAGTAGGGCAGAGGAAGAATAAACAGCTTTAAGGGCCAGTTGTTTACTGCAAAGATCAAGATGAGTCCAGGTGTGTGTTTGCAAACATTTTTAACAGCCTTGGATGAGAATTCAGTGAAATCAGTCTCTTAGAAACCCAAGTCATTTTTTTTCTCCCATCACATCTGAGGTTGAACAATTTCTTCCTATATTCTCCTCCCTAAACCTGTTGATGCTTTCCCTTGGTGGTGGGAATGACCAGCAACTGACCCTCCTTCTCCAAGATGCTTGGACACTTTAGAGCCACAAGATGATGATTCAGTGGCTGGGAGGATGGCAAAAGACCTGGGTTCCCACCTCGGCCTGGCACAAGAGTGAGTGCTCACGACTGGTCCTGGCCAGTGCCTGGACTCTTGCCCCTGCATTTACAGAATCCAGTCGCTGCACTGGATGGTCTTTACTCTTTCCATATTCCGATGAGGTAACTGGATTTTGAACATCCATTTGCAGGTCCCCCTGATGCTAACAAAGCCTGGCGAGAAGGCAGAGGTGCCAACGGGAGTCATAGTGGGGAGTATAATTGCTGGGATCCTTTTGCTGTTAGCTCTGGTTGCAATTTTATGGAAGGTAAGAAAATTGTACATTTTAGAATACTGGGATTCAAAGGCATCTCTGCTTTACTCTCCTTACAAAATGGGAAACAGGTTTTTAGACATGATCTCCTCGACCCTAAGAGGGAGACAAATGTGTGCGCTTTATAATGATTCCTTTCCCAACTTCACCACAGCACCTCCCTTCATACAGCACTATGAACATTTTGTTTAATTTTAAATAAGACTCAAATTTAGTGGAGCTATGGGAATATAAATTTGTTCACTAAAGAGCTGTGATGGATAACAGATGAGCTGTCCCCATGGCACAACCTGCAGATTCCTTAAGAGAAACTGGTCTCATCTAATGAGTATACACTGCTTGGGTGAGGTGTCTATTGATGATTAAATCAGAAACCCACATCCCCAGAGGATGTTAACGTTTGTGTGTCATCACATTTACAGCTTGGCTTCTTCAAAAGAAAATATGAGAAGATGACCAAAAATCCGGAAGAGCTGGATGAGACCACGGAACTCAACAGCTGAACACCCCAGTAGCCACTGCAGTGGGTAAACACGGCCCTGTCTCCTGTGGGGCCTGCTGCTGCCCTGGGCATGCATGGACTGCTTTTCAACTCTTAGGCTTTTTGGTTTTGAAATAATGTAAAGGGGGAAGACTAGCCTGATATTTTAAAAGAAACTGCTGGTCAGATTGGAATGAAGAAATTTTAAGTGGGGTGGGAAATGGGTAAGACTTGCGGGGGGAGGGCATTTTTTTTAAGTTGGCTGGTCCAAAGTTTACGTTCTAATGTGTGTTCCATCAGGAACATGAAATGCTTCCAAGCATGACAAGTCCTAAAGGAAGACATTCTGCTTCCTCTGCCTTTGGACTGCAAGTTAAAGTGGGAGTACACGGTATACATATGTGTATGCATGCATACGCAGTTCTGTGCACAAAGTATTCATGTTATAGAGTGAGAGATTACTACATTTAACATGCATCATACATTATACTGATTACTTCCACATATTTATACAACTATGAATACTGATGCTACCCAGACCAGAGTGGTTTTTAAAGTTATGCTGTTCACCCAAAGTTGCTGCAAGGTTTAAGTGGTAATCTTATTTATAAGTTAAGTAAAATTGGCTGCTTCTCCAAGTACCTTGCTAGCTTTATTAAAACATGCCTGAATAACTCAGAGGGACTTCCAAGTATAGCCTCTATTGAAATCTCTATGTTGGAGGAGGGGACAGTTTAGAAGCTAAGGCACAAAATAATTGCCTAAGAGCTATTTACGATAAAACCAAGCCTGTGGTAGATAAGGAAGGAGGAAGTTCATTCTTTTAGGCCATGATTAGCCTAAACTTTAGGAAGATGAGTAATTTCTTGGCAACCTCTGCCCGCAGGTGCCCCTCAGCCTGCCTTCCTCTGTAGGGGTCCCAAGCTAGCCACCTACCTGCCTGCCTTTACCCTCAGGTAAGCTGTCTTCCATCAGGTATCTGTTGGGGGAAAAGTAATATTTAATTCACACAAGTGTGTGAATTATTGTATATAAACTCCTTAATTTCAAGGAGCTATTTTCTTATTTACTAAGAAAAATGAGCCTGAGGAAATTCCCACATGTTGGGATTTCTGGCAGTATAAACAAGAAACAACAGCAGCATCTTGGGTAATGACAGGGAGATGTGGCGAAGCTTTGGAAACCTCCACGGTGCACCTCTTTCCAGAGTGAAGTGCACGTGGGCAGGTCTGTTCAACAGGGACCCTCCTTGGCCCTAGTGCCCAAGAGTCTCACTTATGGTGGGCCAAGGCACAGAACTTAGCTTTTGTCATGATGATGTGAATGGATTGCATTTTGAGAACCACTACCCATGTCTGCTTTTTGTGCCTCATTTCCTCTTCTTCTGAGCCCAGATATTGTCTAGTTTGGGCCACAGTGACTTGCACGGCAACGGCAAGGACTGTTCTGGGCCAGATGTTGCATACCTAAATCATGGACAGGTCTCCGCCTCTCTAGACTTCAGGGTCCTCATCATAAATTGGGAAGGCTGGACTGGAGCTGAGCGGCACCACTTGTTTACAAAAAAACCATCTCGATTTACTAGAATACAAACAAACAGCTCAGAGAAATGCAGGTCCTTGCCTGGGTACTTCTGGATGGCTCTGCCCTCTTAGGGCTGGCCGCCCACAGCTATCTGGACAGCTTAATGATTTACTTTGTATTTGACAAAGTAGAGCAAACAGGAATTTAGAAAACATCAATTAAGCATAAAATGTCAAACGTTTATAGCAAAAACAGCTTGGTGTTCTCTAGCTGGTTCTGCCAAAGCTCGTTTCTTTTAGCAGCTCTGTAGATTCACTGTTTCCTTCCAGCCAGAATCTGGTTAAACGTTTCTCTGCCGTTTTAAGTTGAAAATATCTAAGTCACATAGCCAGTATGGACAAGGTCTTCAGAAAGCGGATGGAAAACACAGAGAGTGAAGATTCAGGATTGTAAAATTATCTTACGCCAAAATAAACATCATGTAGATTCAATTTTCCAAGCTTTCTGAAGTCCCTCTGTAGATGCATGCGAATTTTCCAATGAACTATATAAACAGAATGTGTCATTTCCTTTTTCCACTTCTCTGCTGCACCTTTCTAGGATAAAGCAATAAGCAAAGGGCAAGGCCAATGGAGCCCAAGAGCCTTGGTTGTGACACTAGGAGCCTCAGCTACAATCTTCCACGGCAGTAGGTCATTATTCTGAACTCACACACTAGCCCCTGGAGCAGGCTTTGTGAGCCTCAGCACTAGTGACCTCGTGGACCAGGTGACTGTCTCCTTGTGGTGGGGGCAGGGTCACCCTGTGCCTCTCCAGGGCAGCACCTCCTGCTGCAGTCAGATGACTAAGAAAAAATGAGGTTTCTGGCCATTCCCAAGGGACTCCTGGGAGGAGTCACTTAAGCACAGGTGAACGTCACCCCAGAAATTCAGAGGGGGTAAAATATCTTTAAAAAGTGTTCTATTGAGCCACATTTTTGCTTGAAAAGCAGAGTAGAGGGCTTAAAAGACTGCAAATTAAAATTTGCATTTCATAAATAACAGACAAAGTCTAGGGAATTTGGTTAAAAATTGAGTTTTATGCATGGCTACTACAAAAACCTTGTAACATAAAGTAGCTTGATGAAAACAAACCTGTATTATAACTTTAAATTGTGTATCACTTCAATAAACCTGGACGAATTCTGTCCAGCTGGCAGTGCTGTATTTTCAAAAAGGTTGAAGTTATTTAGCTGTGAAAAATAAGTAAAACTATAGCAAATGTATGGCCCAATATGCAATTATAAAGTTTTACATATGTATTCATTTGATTTACCATTATAAACTAAAAATCTCAAGAATTAAAGACAAAATCCCTTCAACTAAGCTTTTTGACCCATCTTTGATAACTGTACCATACAGCAATTATATACAGTTTAGGACTATGCCCTTTGTGTATATTCAGGCATGTTTGTTTTAATCAAGGATTAACACCCTAAAGTAATGGCTACTATGTAAATAGTTTCCTAAGTACTGAATTATTTTAGTGGATGAAGTCAAAACGTAAGTGTATATGTTGTACAGTTAGCATAGAATGACATTTTTTAATGAAATCCTTATTTTCCTCCCAACAGTGCATGCCTTTGATGTGAAGTTTTTCTTTGCAGAAAAAAAAAAAACCTGTAAAAAGTGAATGTATGCATGAGTGTCTCTCAGAAGTTGAAACTGTGCAACTTGATGTAGCAATGGACATAACTACTCAGTGTGTTTTCTCATAGAAAAGTGAAGCTCAAACCGCAAAGTTGTATTTAATTGTAAACTATTTATATATTAACGTCTGTTTTGGGGGGCCCCGCACTGTGTTGCAGCATGTTAGACTGCCACTTGCAATGCTGACCCCCCACAGCAACGTCTGATCATGTGCCTGGGGAAGGCAGTGGCTTCGGCCTGGCCCGGGTCGGGCACTTAGCTGCTGTCTGTCCCTGTCACTCTGCCCTTTAAATAAAGTTTTTTTTTTTTTTTTAACAAAGACTTTTGCAATATTTCCTTTGGGTTTTGAATTTTAGAAGTTACCTCTTGTTCTAGAGTTTTCTATACTCACTGTGTGGCAGAGTAATGAAGACCTGAGGAGGCCGAGTCAGAGAGATCAAGTCTGTTAAGGACATGAGCCGAAACCACTGTGAAATGCCCAAGCGTGGCCGCACAGCACTTCAGTGGTAATCAAAGGGGTTTCACAGTTTTTAAAGATTAAACATGCTGAATTTATTTAGTGAGCCGTCAGTCAGCGCATTCCTGCATGGCCTGGGGAGTGTGTGCCCTACTCCTGATGGCTCCCGTGTGCCTGCTGCCCTCTCACCCGCCTGCCTGTCCATCTCAACTACAGTAAACGCCTCGCAGGAGCAGCGTCCTGCACCACCCCCAGTGAGTGAGTCTCAGATACCTCTCACACTGTACAGAGAGCACAAAGCTGGAGAAAGCGGAGCAGGTCAAGAACTGGTCCTAGAGACCCTCGTTAAAACTATTTCCCTGGTTTATAATTTTATATGGTCTACTGTTTAAGAAACAAACCCTTTTATTCTCAGAAGGTAGAAGCATCTTCAAAATCACATCCCTCATCCTAGGCTAATATTTTAAACATATACATCAATTTACACAACATCAGGGCCCAACTTCCACTTCAGCACCATGCTAGCCTTTAAAATTGCTACTAAACAACTTTTTGGTTTTAAGAATATTCGCTGTAGGATATGCCTGTCTCTACCTCCCTCTGCTGGCTGAATTACCTAACTACACCTCAAGAGGTGTCCTTAACATAGTGGATGTTCAGTAATTACCTAAGATATCATAGGATGGGAGTTCCGGGAGCAGAGAAGCTGCCACAAACCACATTTGTCAGTGCTACAACCCAGGCACACGTGCACCAGGCGTGAAGCAAATTTAACACTGAGTGGCAGTGAATATCACCGCAAGATGTAAAAGCTGTGTTAGCCAGGGCAAGACAGAAGTAGAGGAAGGAAAAGATGGACTCCAGGGTGTCTGAAAGGTCTAAGATGGGGGTTGACCTGCCACATACAAGCCACAGCAACACAAGATTTGAAGGGCATGCCCTGAAGAGCACGCCGAGGTCCTGGGATGCGAGCAGCTGGGAGAAGGCTCAGGGCAGCTTAGAGAGGGGAGATGAACAGGAAGGGACTGTCGGTGGCCCAGGCTAGCTCACTAGAGAACTAGTCTGTGGAAGGGGAAGTGTGATAAGCAAGAAGCAGCTGACTTCAAGACAGACCTAAGAATCCATTTTCTACTTCTCCAAATGTTCAAGTCCAGTCTCATAGTTTCTCTAATACTAAAAATACATGGTGACCCTGAACGCCAGAGGACAAAACCACCCAGACTGCTTCCACTCACGTCTGGTGAAATCCTTTTCATCTCTCTTACCTGCTCAAAACTACTTGAAACAAAGCAATTCCAATAGCCTGCCTTGGGAGCGAACTTCACCTGCAGCCCTCGCCAGCAATCGGCTTCAAGGCCGACTGCCGTTCCCTTACTCTAAGTACATTGGCAGCCAAAGGGACACAGATGGAAAGGGTACATGTTGGAGTCACATTAGGCCTTTTAACATCTCAACCACCAATCCACTCTGTCACTCCTAAGACAGCCAGTATAATCAAAGATCCGATTTCACTCCAGTGTGTCCCACTGCAAACTTCTCAGGGATGTCCCATTCCTGTTCCAGCATGCCTCAGATGACACTGTCACTTCTGGGCAGGAGATCTACAAGCATATTAGTCTGGGCTCCAAACTTCATCTCCTAATGAAGGCATGACTAAAAAACATGTTTCAACAATGTTCTATGTGTGTTTAAACAATGCTTCTGTGTGCTTTGTATAATTACCAACAATTAAGACATTTAAAAAGTATTTAAGCAGAAAACTTAGAAATCCACACGTACCTCGTATTAGCTTTCTATGTAACATGATAAGCATCACATTCCCAGTTTGGGTGCAGAATCAGGCCTGTCTCCATCGGCTGCCCACCCAATGACAATGCACTTTCAGAATCAATGCAGGCTCCGACACCCCGTACCTCAGCGTCGCTGGAAACTGGTTTCTGTTCAGTGAAGAGGAGGAGACATCAGTAGAGGTGAGCAGGTAACCCTACGTCAGTAACAGAAGCAGGTGTCTGCCTTCCCAGTATCCCTGTGGCCCAGTCTCTGGGGACAAGGTCTAAGTACGAGGGGACCAAGAGATGCCTCGAGTCCATGTGCCTGTCTGGCGCATCCCAGCCAGAAACAAGATGCAAGATCTTCCTGCGGATCTTAAAGCGCGCCAGGCAGAGATCACTGACTGCCTGGGTGGGTGGCCACCTGGGAAAGAATGGGCATTCAGTAAGTATTTGCTTAATGAGTTCCTTAGGTAAAATGTGTTCCCACTAAATGAATAGGATTTCCATGTTTCTTACCTGTTACACAAACAAGGAAAAACCCTTGCAATCTAGGTTCTGGAAAAGTAGTGTTAGTAAATGCACAATTATAATTCCATAATGATACAGTTGCTCAACTTATGCCTATCACTTAGAAAGTGTATGTTACTTTAAATCCTGCCCTGAGTAGGTCCCATTAAGCATTCTCACCACAAAAGGAAAAAAAGATACTATGTGAGTAGATGGATTTGCTAATTAGGCAAGTTGATAATCATTTCTCTATTTCCATATATCAAAAAATAACATTGTAGACTAAAATATATACAATTTTTATTTATCAAGTATGCACCAGTAAAATGAGAGTTGGAAAAAAATAAATTATATGGAACTTGTACATACAAATCTGAAGATATTATAGCTAAAAACTAGATTACCATCTCATAAAAATCTTGCAGAAAATTTAACTGCTTATCAATACTTCACTAATGATCACTGTGTATAAGAAACTAGAAAGTAATGGGAAATGGCTTAATTAATGACCATATAATCTTTCTTATGACTCTCCTTAAACAATTTCTAATAAAGTTGGCAAGTTAAATTTTAAACACCCACTAATACTTTCATGCAAACTAAGCTGATTACAGTTTACAATTTCATGCTGACTTGTATATTGATCTAGCTTTAATAAGCATAAAAATGCAACAAGAATTATGGTCAAGGTCATGGAACACTAGAAATCGCAGTCATATAAAATATTTTTAGGTATTAGCACTGATCTTTTTAAAAATGGGAAGGCAGTTTGCAAACTTATAAAAGTTTGGGTCCAATTAGTTTCTTTTTAAAAATATACTAAGTTCTAAAAATATATATCAAGATTGTCTGGGGAGTAAGGGTCGGGGTGGGGGTAGCCCTGTCTGAGACTAAGAGGGTGGCGCCACAGCTACAGGTGAGCCACAGCTACAGGTGAGAGTTAAAACTCTTCCCGCATTTATGTCACTCCACTTCCTCCCTGAAGTCCCTGCGTTAGCTTAGTCCCTAAGTAACCCTGCACCCTTACTCCCCACATATTTGTGCTGTTTCTCTTCTTAGTCCCTCTGGCCCACAACGCTGGGCCTCAGTGACCTGTCTTAATCTGCGGAGAACAATAACAAGGGGCTCTGTGGTCAAACTTTACCAAGTTTGAGAGCTCAAAAAATACAACTCATTAATCCTTGCTTGCCCAAAAACATTCTTTGTTTCTCTTCCAAGCTGATGACGACTCTTCGTATATTTCCTACAAAACAGAATCATAAAACAGGCATTGGAAATAAATCACACATATACCTATTTCAGCAAGCTCCTCTCTCCGCAATCCCATAAGCATTTCCATGAGCCTCGGAGAGAAGGAATTGATGGGCTCCCGAGATTCAAGGACATTCAGTGACAGACAAGAAGCCTTACCATGGAAGCAAATGACCACCTAACTCAGCTCAAGGCCATGACAAAAGACACTGTGGGCCAGGTTTTGCAGAAAATGAAGGTTCTTGGTTTTAAAGTTTAATTTTATGACACAGTTTAATAGGCACTGGGTCTCCTTTCCCTCCCCCGACCATTCCATGCTCCAGTTTGCAATGAGTGCCTTTTGTGAATTTTCACGAGTCCATCACGCTGCTCCCGTGGTGTCTCCCAGCAGGGTGGGAGATGCTCAGCCGTTTCGCTGTGAGCCCGGGGACATACCTCTGTCCCCACCCATGGACATACTGATTTCCGCCATGCTTCCACTACGCATTCCCATATGTATAGTACACCATGGAGAAAAAGTTAACAGACTTGTAACAAAGGTATCAATGGGTGGTGAAAAAGAGTGTCCAGCATCTTCCTGTATGAGTAACTGCCAGCGTGCGTCCTGCGTGGCTCCAATGAAAGCACAGTAAGGACTAGATCATCGTTACTTATGGGCAGTCGCAATAACAGTGCTAAGAGGGACTTTCTTTTTAAAACAAATATACTTCTAACAAAACAAACACTTTGACAATACAACGCATGCTTTGCAAAGGACAGTTGTTAAAGGCAGGACCTGCAGAAGTTCATATATGGGTGTGAACAGGGCACTGATGTGAGCTATGTGAACCTGTGCAGCCAACACGCACTCCACCTCCTTCTCTCAGAGGAGAGGCTGGGAGCAGAATCACCCCCAAGCCCCAGCCCACGGCATGCTAGGCACCGCAGGGAAGGAAGCAGGAAGCACGCTATGTTTCTCTCCTCCCTGCAGCCAGATGCCCTTCCCGCAGCAGGAGGAGCCCAGAGCCAGCTGGAGCATTGACCTTCGTCCACTGCAGTTTTCAGTCCTGGGTCTCTAGTCTGACTTGTTGAAAAGTATTTCTGTGTCTGCTAAATTTCTCTGGAAACTCCTTGTATGGCTTCTCTCCGATCTCCTAGAGGTCTCTGAGTTTCCTCCAGAGTCATTTTGAATTCTTGGTCTGAAATGCCTCCCACCTCCATCGTGAGAGGACCACCATTGGTGCCCTGGTTGGTCTACCTGGTGAGAGCAATCCCATCTGCTCCGGATGCTCACAGACCTACATGTCTCGGAGCACCTGCACTTCCCCAACCCAGGATGTACAAAGTGCCAGCACTCGTCAGGGCATCAGACTACCATCTGCCCCAACTTGTACCCCTTTATTTTCTGGGGTCACCCCCTTATCTGCTTTCAGTGATCTGGCCTTTATTTCTAGTAAAGACAATTGTTCTTGAGCAGGAGATGTGACTTAATGGGTTAAACCGACAACGGTGGCAACATTGGCTTAACATAGGGACTAGTTTGAGCCCTAGGGGCAGCTAATCTGGCTCCCTGCTAAGGCACTGGGGGGTGGGGGGAAGTAGTGGAAGATGGAACAAGTACTTGGGACCTTGCACCCATGTGGGATAGCTGGAGGAAGCTCCTGACTTTGACCTGGCGCAGCCCTAGCTGTTGCGACCATTTGGGGAGTGTGCACTGGCAAACGGAAGGTCACTCGCTCTCTCCTGCCCTAACTCTGCTATTCAAATGAAATAAAAAGAGAGCTATTGCTACTGCCTCAGCGTGCAATTCATTTTGGAATGCCTTTCCTAACTCTCCTCCTTCTAGGGCCCACAGCATGGTCTATCTAACACACTGGTGGCAGCCTGGTTTCCAGCAAAGCAGTCACAGATTGGACTTTCACTAAGCCACTGGATAAGGCCTATTCAAAGTGTTCCCTGTGACTTCGGATTTCGGCTTTCACTCAGGAAATGTGTTCTAGAGATGCCGCAGGCCGGGGTTCTGAGTCAACGCTCCCTCCCTAGCCCGACCGAGGCAGAGGCCCCAGCAAGGACGGGAGACTGAGCCCTGACACCCCTGGCCCTGTGCCCCGCTCTTCTGATCCACCAGCCTGTGCATCAGTTCCTCAGCCTTGCCATCCACACAACCAGAAGGAAATTCGTAACGAAGCGTGTGATCACGTAAACTTGCAACTATGGAACAATCCCACTGTTCCTGTTACTAGAGCAAGGGGGGGGTGGGGAATCAGGGAGTTGGACCTTTTTGTCCATTAGAATGTGCAATTTAACCAAAGACTTCCTTGATGTTACTGAATAGCTGGACTCATTGACAAAACAAACCAGAATTTCCTGTTTATGCTTTTAAAGTGGCTCAACAATGTATTTTATCAAAGGCAGCCATCTCTTGCTGTTTTGTTTCCTCAAAGAGAAAAAGAAACCTCCAGGAAGAGACCCCCTTTTCCTTGAATTCCAGCTTTAGCCATTAGCTAAACAGTAAGACATGCCACCAGTCTCTAAGAGAAAGTCTCTAAGTTCAAAATCAAGACAAATGTTTTCATATAAAAACCCCTGGAAGAGCCTAGACTAGAAGGTTAACTGTTACCATTTATTGAGGCTTTTGGGCCATGCATTTCTCATGCTTAAACCCCACAAAAGAGAAATGAAGATCCTATTTCATAGAAAAAGAAAGCAAGATTCTACAGCCAGGCCTGGGCCATGACCATGATTCTAGGAATATTCTTACTCTTCACATGTCATATTAAGAATTCCTGAGAGGAAAAAAAAAATCAAGTCTAGAAGACAAAACGAGGTGAAAAGACAAAACCTTGTGAACTGACCTTCTTCCATATGGGCACCTTGGCTTTTAAGTGGTCAATGGCGAAGCTCACGGCTTCCAGCGACGCAGCCCTGTGGGCCGAGGACACAGCAATGACAACGCTGGCTTCTGACACCGGAACCAAGCTGTAACGAGACAAAAATGGAACCATCGCCTCGGGATCTGAATCGACATGCTGCACCATGTGCTAGACCACATTAGAAAAGGAAAAATCTGCTGACACTTTATCACCACAACGCAGTTCCACGTTACTCCAAATTCCCTCATGGTCAGAAATCAGTGGTACCCTGCTGTATTCAGGAGAGCGAACACCGATCCTGAACCAGTCTGCAAGCCGCTAGCCACAGAGCTGCGTGAGGAGCACCAAAGCAGAAAAGCATCTTTCACTGATCTAACAAGCATCCTAAAGAGTGCCAGGGAATGCACAGAGAAACAAAGTTACCATGCCAACTATAACTCAGAATTTAGCACCATAAATAGCAATACACATCCATAGGCCAGGTAATAATCACTTGGTAAAATTACTAGCTAATAAAATTAATAACAAACAAGGGAATATGACAAAGTCTTAATTGCTCATTTCTTAAAACCAAGAACACTTAAAACCAAGAATTATGTTTAAGCAGCACAACAAGGCAAACTATTTTAATGACTCTGAAAAGCATTTATAGCAAGAATTATAAATGACTATGAACAGGGTCAGGAGGGCAAAACAACTCAGAAAAGCAGGACTCAAGGACTTTGGCTCGTGCTCCCACAAGCCCCCGTGCCCAGGGCCTGGGAGCCTTGGCACATTCTGCACTGTGGAACGGGCCCCGGGGAGACAAGGGCACGCCCGGATCACAAGCCAGCAGGTGCTCAGGAGAGGTGCCGGGAGCACCCCATAGATCTTTCACACACCCCTTCTCCTGGTGACAGAGAACACCCGAGCCATGTTCCAGAGTCGGAATTCTGGTCCAACTTAGAACAAAGCCGGCCTGCCCTCGGACAGAGGGACGCGTACCCGAGTCGATGGAACACGGCTATGTGTGCGACCGGCCACCTCTGCCTGATGTCACCGCAGATCTTTCTGATCTCGTTTTCCGCCATTGGCAGATAAGCTTCATATTCTAAGCTAAGGACTTTCTTCCCTTCAAAGTTATTTCTTGTAGTCCCTAAAAACAGAAAAACAAAAAATTACATAAGGTTTTATCTTACGCTAGAGACAGGAGGACAAAATGAAAAAGGAGTTCATGTTCAAGAGCAAACAAACAGCACATCTATTTAAAAGTGCTCGGATTACAAAACTTGGTTAGGAAAGCAAAAGATAACTGTCTCAAAAATGATGAGTAAATAAAAATGATGAGGAAACAGTTGCCTGAAAACATCCAAGGAACAAATGTGAATGTTCCTTTTCTAGCCTCAGCATAGGAAAATTAAAATACATTCCCAGGATTATCTCAGGTACGTTTTCTTCTGTTAAAAATTTGGAAAAACTAGACCCAGTGCTATAGCCTAGCAGCTGTAAGTCCTCACGTTGCATGCACTGGGATCCCACATGGGCACCAGTTTGTGTCCCAGCCATTCCACTTCCCATCCAGCTCCCTGCCTGTGGCCTGGGAACGCAGTAGAGGACAGCCCAAAGCCTCAGGACCCTGCACCCACGTGGGAGACCCAGGAGAGGCTCCAGTCTTTGGATTGGCTCAGCTCCAGCTGTTACAGCTACCTGGGGAATGAGCCGGCAGCCGTATCTTTCTGTCTCTCCTCTCTTTAAAATATGACTTTCCATTAAAAAATTTAAAAACAAAAAACTGGGAAAAAAAATACCAAAATTTTCTGAGTCACGACCTACTTTTATGGCTTAATCTGAAGCTTATTGGAAAAAACTAAAGAACTTAAAAACAAATTCTACTCACTTTCACGAGCAATGGTGATATATGATCTTGAAACCCATCACTACTGACACTGAACGTGAAAGCCCAGGCTCATTCCTGCTGTCTGGCAGAGCCGACAGGTGCCGTGAAAGTGACAACTCACCTACAAACAGGGACACAGCACCACAGGGTGGAGAAATCACCAGCTGTGAGATCTCCTCCACCGCGAGTTTCTCAGTCGTGAATTTTATTATATCTTTAGGTTTCTCTTCAACTTCATCCATATCTTTCCTAGAAATAAGATGTTAACAGGTGTTAGTACTAGGAGCAAAACATTTCAACCTGTAGGCTGTTTCAATTAAATATATTTTTTCCAATATCAGATGTGTTAGGAGTCTTGACTGATTTGAAAGATCAAAGTGAATTTTTAACAAAAGAGAATTTTAACAAAGCTCAATATATTTATAAATATACCTAATGAATCAGGCCTGAAATAGAAACTGGCTGTATACATGGTCTCTGCAATGTAGTCGATCTCAGAAACCAGTAGATTCCAAAATCTGTGATTGCCACTGAGACCTCACCATGATGATGGAGCTGCGAAGGCACTACTTTCAATCTACATGCACTTCACCTCCAATCACGGTGACCAGACACCATTCCTACCACTGCCCTTCCCCGTATCCAAAAAGGAGAGGAAGAAAGCTGATGTGAAGATGATTCTACTGCAACTAAATTCCTTTTACAACCTGGCCCAATCCCGGTGAACTCAACAAACACGGAAATGAGCTGCACACCTACTGAGCAGGTGTTGTGCAAAGTCCTTCTTTGCATTGCATTTCTCGGTTCATGAGCTAGTATTACATAATCTCTATGGGCCATTATTACACACCCTTTAAGAGCCAGAAGCTAATCCCAGACGCTAGACACAGACCAGGAATTAAAACCCACAGGCCCCGGGAGTACTTGTGTACGACGGGGAGGAACAAGGTAACAATTCAAGTTAGAAACAGGCAGAGTGTGAAAATACTCAGAGTCCTGAGGGGGCGGGGAAGAGGGTATTTCAAACAAGGAGTTTAATGTTCCCTCTTCAAGAGGGAACAAGTACAACTCCCATCAGCAAGATAAGGCAGCCAGGGAAAGAAAGGTAGGGACAGCTCTCGCAGCCAGCGCCAGGGAGTGACAGCTTCCTCCCGATGCTACCAGGCAGCCTGAACGTGGATGGACTAACGCTGGATGGGGAGGTAAATCATGAAACTACAGTAACAAATCGGAGATTTCCCGTAAAGTACAAGGATGGGATGGGGGAGGCTCAAAAACCAAGGATCCCTCTCAAATGGCTGCATTCCAATTCTTATTAGATGCAATGCTCCATTCCCTATCTCCTTCCAGCTGCTGAGAAGAAAAGCACAACTTCAAGGCACAGACAGTGACTAGATAACGCAATCTCAAACAATAAAAACAAAGCCGAGGGGATCACAATACCAAACTTCAAGACGCACTAACATATTACAGAGCATGGTAATGGCATGAAAACAGACCTGGAGGTCACTGGAATGGAGCAGAAATCCCAGAAGTGAGCCCACACATTTATAATCAGCTGACTCTTGGTAAGTGAACTGAAATCAACACAGGGAGAAAGGACAGTCTCTTTACAAATGGCACTTGGAAAACTGGATATCGACTTGCAGAAGACAAGACAAGACCCATGCCTTTCACTTTGTTAAAAAAAAAAAAATCAACTCTAAATGAATGAAAGATCTAAACCTACCAACTGACACAATCAAAATACTAGAGGAAAGTATCGGAGCATTCTATAAGACACAGCAAAGACTTCTTAAAGATCCCCAAAACACAGGCAAGTAAAATAAAAAATAAACAAATGGGACTGCATGAAGCTGAGAAGCTTCTGTACTGCAAAGAAAGCAAATCAATTCATAGACAACCAACAGAATGGGAGAAAATATTCAAAAATTATACAACAGATAGAGAACCAATATCCAGGATTTACAAAGAACTCCAGAAACTTAACAGCAAAACAGCCCAATTTATAGGAAATGGACCAAGGACATGAACAGATACTTTTAAATAATGAAATTCCAAGGACTTACAGACAAAAGAACAAATGCTCAGGTTCTCAGCAACCAGGGAAAGGCAAAGAGAAACCACAATGAGGTTCCAGCTGACTTGGTGAGAATACCTGATACACAGAAACCAACAAATAAATGCTAGCGAGGCAGTGGGGCAATGATACCCCAATCCACTGTTGGTGGGAATGTAGACTAGTGTAACCACTATGGAAGTCAGTTTGGAGAGCGCTCCTCTAACAAAAAATAGATCTACTATGTGGTCCAGCCATCCTGCTCGTGCTAATATATCCAAAGGAAATGAAATCATGAGCAGTACCTGCAATCCCAGGTTTGTAGCAGCGCAATTCACAACAGCTAAGACATGAAAACAACCCACATGCCCCTGAACAGATGAGCAGATAAAGAAAACGCAGCACATTTACTTCCTGGAATACTACTCAGCCATAAAAAAGAACGCAGTCTTAGCATTTGAAATAAAACAGACCCATCTGGAAACCATTACACTTAGTGAAATAAACCAGTACCCAAAAGATGAATATAATGTTTTCTCTGATATGTGACAACCTACTTATACACAGAACACACAAAAGCTATAAACTCTATAAGGGAAATTAGCATACTGAGAAATAATGGAGGTGTATACATTATGCATCTTTACTCCTGAACTTCTAAGATCCTATTATTTTTAATATTTTTGTAATTTTTTATGTTATTTTATTTCTTTTCATACATTTGTCATACCGTGATACATTTATATATCAAAGTTAAGCCTGTATCAGAGAAAGGAATGACTGCGCCATTGTCACAAACTGGAACAAACAACAGGAGGAGATACAGGGAGGGAGGGAAAGGAGGGGGGAAGACGAGTCCCTATGCATGTAAATCTGTATGGTAAGAACAAATAAAAAGAAAAGAGTTTTAAAAAGGCACAGCTATACCACATGGGGGGGTCTGTGAACTTCAAGCCTTCTTGAGAACGCACGACGTGTGTTTCTATAATATGCCTAACCCAACTGGCCGGTTCTAACCTGCCTCCTGGTACAAACCCTGTCAGGACACTCCACAGACAATGCTGCCAAGGAATCATTTCATCTTCCCAGAGCACAGATGTAATATCCTCAGACACACCTGCCCCTCTGAAGACAGCTCACTGTGCTCTAACAAAATCCCACATCTGCAAACTCATGGTTGAGAAATCATGTTGGTGATAAAGTGACCACATTTTCCCAATAAAACTGAGAGGCATTTCCACAAGGAATTCTTTCTAGATAGCAGGACCTGAGAGAGATTCCTACGTGCTGTCATGTGCATAACCTGCCTTATTTATCATTTTTTTATTTTTCATACTATTACCTTCCAAAAGGGGTTGGGGGTGGAGGTGGAGCAGCAAGAACAGGTGAAAGAAAATTTAGCGGGCATCCTGGCTTGTACCTCTAATGGAATCTAGGTTCTGCCACTTGACTATGCTTTTTACTCTCCATTTGGGATAAAGCTATCATATTAAATATAATATAGTCTATAATATAGTCCTTGTTTTAACAAAGGGGAAAATGAAGAGGGAGGGGAAGAAGGAGAGGATTGAAAGGGGAAATTCCTGTGGCTAAGGAATTGTATCATAAAAAAAAAAAATAAGTAGTGATTTTAAAAAGATGTTCGCAAAGACTAGATAGGGAAGCAAAAGCCTGGGTACTACAGATTAACTATGAAAAACCTGTGATTGTAAACTAAGGAACCCAAGGCCAGGAACTGCAAGACGGGAGACAGCACTGGGATGAGACACTGACCAAGCGGAGACAAGGCGGCCCAATCAGCTCAGCACCCTAACAACAGTCTTCTTCAAGGACCTTACACCAGTTTCCAGAGGGTGTTAAACTGCCAGATCATTTCCATTCAACGTCTCTTCTTGCTCAGCAGAGTCCCTCCTGGCTGCTTTCTCTGAAGTCCTCTCTGGGCTCAGTTCAGTAAGACAGTTTGGTTTCAAAAGTTCCTTCTAAAAAAAGGTCTTACACACTTTCCTGCAGCCCTTGACCCTTAGTGCCTTAATCAACTATGTAAAAATTGACAATTTTGACAAAATAAATAATAAAATAATAAAATAATTTTTTTAAAAAAAAAGCTCCTTCTGGCTAGGCCACTTGATACAAGAGCTTTCGTTCAGTCACACCAATAAAACCTGAAGACATGACCTTCTTGGGGCCATCACGGGCTAGCCAGCCATCTGTGGCACCCATGCCGGTAGGGGTCCTAGCTGCTCCACTTCCTGTCCAGCTCCTTCCTAATGGCCTGGGAGGGCAGCAGATGATGGCACAGGTCCTTGAACCCCTAGCACCCATGTGGGATCCCAGGAAGAAGCTCCTGGTTCCCAGCCTCGGACCAGCCCAGCTCTGGATGCTACAGTCATTTGGAGAGTGAAACAGCAGATGGAAAATCACTGTCTCTCCCTCTAATTCTTTCAAGTAAAATATTAAAAAAAAAAAAAAAAAAAAACGCCTTTTAGTTTATTCATTGGCCTAAAACTTTGTCGTTGATAGAGCAAGCCCCTACGGATCAGATCAGCTGAAGCAAGCTATTAAATTAAGCTGCTTATAGCATAATTGATGCAGACACGGTGGGGAGGTATTCTCGAGTTTGCACCAAATATGGACAGATTCATCACTGAGGAGCCAGTACAGACTGATTTGCAAAGAACACACAGTAAGAGCAAGCCAAACAGAGCCTACCATCCAAGACCGAGAAAGACCAATGGGACATACCTGCACGGCTCCAACGCACTACCCTCCACTAATGGGGGGGATGATGGCAACTTCATCTCCCGGCTGAAGGTGGAGGAGTTGATCTCCAAGTTCGACATATTCTTGACGAACAGCGAATATCACCTGACGTCTCACATCAGCCAATCTGAAGGCGAAAAAAAGGAAATAGCTACAGCAGGTGTGACTGCAAATATCCTTCGTTACACTTAAAAATGCGGCAGAAATACCCTCACCCACCCACAAGTATACTAATGAAGCGCATAGTCTGTGGATACAAAGACACCTGCTTAGGAACATTCACGGTAAGGAATGCACTAACAACAACTCTTCACCCGCTGTAGGTCTTCGGGAATGAAAATAACAAAAACAAGACTGGAAGCTACATTCAAACCAGATCAAGGATAACAGTGTCTTGTCAGCTCACTGCCTTTCAGGGTTTGTCCATGTGCATATGAAAACATATTCATTGTAACCAGAAAGGTTCCCCCAATACCCACTGTCTACAGCTTGGTATGTTAATGCTTAAATAGAACACAGGTCCCACCACTTTCCCTCTGAGAATTTAGAAGACCTGACATGGGGGGCATGTGTTGGGCTTAAGCTGCAAACACCATTCAAGACACCTGTATCCCCATCAGGGTACCCAGGTTTGTCTCCCAGCTCCACTCGCAAGTGCAGCTTGGAAACAGGCGATGTCCTAAGTGCTGGGTCCTTGCCCCCTACAAAGGAGGTTTAGACTAATTTCTTGGTCCTGTCTTCACCCTGTCCCATGGCTAACACCTGCGGGCACTGGGGGAGTGAAACAGCCAACAGGAGACGGCCTTTCAAATTAATCATTCAAACATATCTGAGACGAAGGAGTCCTCTAGGTGCCTTCCAAGCAACACTGGCGTATCTGCTACACAGCAGCAGGACTTCCAGGTGACTCAGCCAACACTCTCACTGGCACCAATATTCCTGAACAGCTTCAAATACATCCCCGTGCTGTCCTATTCCATGAAGGACTTGAGGCAGGAATGGCTACAGTGAAGCCATAGCTTTCCCACAATTAGGCAAAACTCAAATTTGTCAAAACTCAGATCCAGCAGCGTCCGGGGTTGGATGTAGCTCATTTCTCTTCCAGCCCTGCACACCTCAACTCCAGAAAAATGCAACGAAAGACTCTCTCATTAAGCATGCAAGTCAAAATTAATTAATTTTTTGTTTCATTTTTTTCCTCCAGGCACATTAAACTACTGAACGTGTTCATGAGTAGCTTGCTACGTTAGTTTACCTACCCAGGATGCCGAGCTTCTATCTCTTGCCACAGCTGCAATGCCTGTATTTCTTGAGGCACAGAAATGGTCTCGGAACGCACGCCTGCTATTTCAGCACTCTTGGCAAAATACAACACTTCAACCTGCAAAGTCAGAAAGTACTGTGTTAGTCACCCAGCCCGCCTGGCCGCCCACCCCAGCCCTGTGCCGCATGGACTGCTTTCATGAGGCAGATTTTACAACCTAGAGAAAACCTCCTCCCCAAATTCAGTACTCAGGTTTTCATTTTGAAAAATAAATAAATAAAAAGTTTGAAGCACCACACGGGCCAATTTCAGGACACTGCGCTTTACAGACTTTCCCATGCCTTAATGACAGTCTCCAGCGTGCCTTGTAAGAAACCCTGAATCTTTGATAAAACGTTGCAAAGTGAACATCTAACTCAACAGATACGAGCAACTGACCCAATCAGCAAAAGAATGTTCTCAGGATTTTCCAATGACCTTTGATGCCTATGGACGTCACATGAGCCCAAACTGGGGAAGATGAAGTTATGCAACATGCAAAGTCTGCCATGGATGAAAGCAAATGGGACTGAAATACAGGACAGACTGGTATTTCCTAGGGCAGACCCGTGCCACCTACGTAGTGTCTAAGAGATGCGAACAGGCGAAACAGCCCACCTGTCATTCAAACTTGGCCCTCTACGAAACAATCACAGCTTGGACAGACACTAATTACGCCTTGTCAACCCACAGGTGACACCCGTTTATCCACACACACTCAACGCACGACTTCTCTTTCTAAATTTAAACTTAATCCTCATCCAAACGACTACTTTGAGAAAAGTGGACCCAAAAGGGAGTCGCGGCACCCTCAGAAACCAGCCGCACTGAGGTAACCCCGACACAAGAGTCCCCCGGAGAGTGAACTTGACCTGTGAGGGCAGACGGGGCAGAGGAGCCCAAGGCCGGGATGGGGTCTCCCCGACACGGAGGCTCGGGCTGTGAGGGGCGCCAGGACCAGGGTGGGCGAGCGCTGCAGGGGAGCAGGGAGGGCAAAGGCTGAGGGGTCAGTGCCGGGCCCTGCGGAGGGCAGAGCCGGGCAGAGCCGGGCAGGACGCACGCACACTCCCCGGCCTTACCTGGCACCGCTGCACCATCGCTCCCGGGACCCCAGCTGCCTCACAGGCACACAGGCCGCAGGGCAGGTCCGCGCCCGGGGCAGGCCCACGGCGCAGGCGCAACGCGACAGCCCCGCCCGCCGAGTGCCGCGGGGAGCATGCGCACAATCAGCCCCGCCCTCTACCTCCCCTCCTGTTCTGTCGTGTTCTGTTTGTGCCGCACCTGGCAGCTCAGGTAGAGCCTAGGTTTGTTTATTCCCAGTTAGTTAGGGTCCCTAAGGACGGCATTCCGTTATCAGAGCCTTCTAAGGGCGTCGGTCCCACCCTTTTCCTACTTTCTGCCTTGCTCACACACTACTCAGAGCCGGCTTTCCACTGCGCGGTTAGATGAGGTTGTTAGGCGTGCCTACCCAGCTCAGTTCATTAGCTATTAGCAATTTAAACTCCCGCTGCTAAGTGTTAACAGGTGGTATCTGTGTCGCCGTGGATTCATTAACACCAACTGGGTAAAGCTGCCAAATGTTAGGGATGAAGTAGCTTTTACAACGCTGAGAAGGGCTGAAAACAGAAACAACACCCGTCATCATGTTATATACAACCAAGCCGGTGTTGATAAAGGCCAGAGCTTGATGCTTGCACACCTGCAAAACACTCCAACCAGCAATAGGAAAAATTTTAAAACTCACTTGAGAATAATGAAATAGTTCAGTAATAAAAATACAGTACAGTAAGAGAACCAAAAAAAAAAAAACCCCAAAAACCTCTTAATATTGTCATTGATATTTCAGTCCACTTAAATATAAAACCAAAGCATCAACTGTAGGATTATGGTTATAGAATAAAACTGACATCCAAATTATTGGCATCCAAATTATTAACATCCAAATTTAAGATTTTATTTTTATTTAAAAGGTGGAGTTACAGAGAGGAGGAGAGAGATTGATACCTTCCACCCGCTAGTTAACTCCCCAAATAGCCGGAACACCAGAAGCTTCTTCCAGGTCTCCCATGTGGGTGCAGGGGCCCAAGGAGATCCTTTGGTGCTTTCCCAGGTCACAAGCAAGGAGCTGGATAGGGAGTGGAACATCTGGGACACTGACTCCCATATTGGGATGCTGACCCTGCAGACTGAAGCTTAGCTCACTACACCATGGCCATGACCCTGGCTCCAGCACCCCAATTTCTTAAAGATTTGGGTTTTTTTGAAAGAAAGGAAGAGACAGAGACCCTAACTTCCATCCTCCAGCTCACTCTGCAGATGGTTGCAATGGCCAGGGCTGGATAAGGCCAAAGCCAGAAGCCAGGAGCCGGGAGCTCCTTCCTGGTCTCTCACATAGGTTGGTGTAGCCTATGATCCATCTTCTGCAGACCTGCAAGGCCATTAGCAAGAGGCTGGTTCAGAGGTGGAGCAGCTGAGACGAAGGAGTTGCTAGCATGATACCACAACACCGGCCCTAACAATCGTAATTTTTAAAAAGATAACAAATTGTCCTGGAAACATGTGCTTACAAAGCATGGATTCAAGTTTCTCAATACCTTTCATAAGTTTTTGGACCCATCTTTGAGGAGCAACTATCTCAAGAATATCTCAACTATCTCAAGAATAATTTGGGGGATCCGTGCTGTAGCAGGTTGAGCCACCAGTTTTGACCCTGGCATCCCATGTGGGCACCACCTCAAGTTCCAGCTACTCCACTTCTGATCCAGCTTCCTGTTGACAGATCACCCAAGTGCTGTTCAAGTAAATAACCCAACTAAAAAAGAAAATTGTTATCCGTGTCATATGTCAATAACATCGCCTTGTAGGTGTTGTGATGTAACTTCTCAAGCTGCTTCTTGGAATCCCAGCATCCCTTATCTGAGTACCTGGGATTGAGCCCACTGAACACTTCTAATTCAGGTTCCTGCTAATGGGCACCCTGGGAGGCAGCAGATGATGGGTTAAGAAGTTGGGTCCCTGCCATTCACATGGGAGACCCAGAGGGTGTTCCTGATTCCTGCTTTAGTCCTGGACCAGCCCCGGCTGCTGCCAGCATTTGAAGCCTATAATCACACATACTGGAATCTGTACGTTGCTTTGTGAACATCTTGATGTAGTGTGAACATCTTGATGATATTACTTCTTCCATTCCATGAATATGGAAGGCTTTTCCATTTTTTTTCTTAATTGTCTTTGATTCTTACTATAAAGATTTTTCATATTCTGGGTTAAATTTACCCCCAAAGGATTTAACTTTTTGTGCCTATTGTGAATGACATGGATCTTGCAAGTTCTTGCTTAACAAGAACATTGTTGATATATGTGAATGCTATCGATTTATTCTGCTACTTGACTGAATTCTCGTATAAATTTTAATAGTTTCACAGTGGAAATTTGGTTCCTCCATATAAAGGATCATGTCATCTGCAAATAGAGATAATTTGACTTCCTCCTTTTTCATTTCCTCTCTGATTTCTTTTTCTTGACTAATGGCTGTGGCTAAAACTTTCAAAACTATGTTGAACAATATTCAGGAGAGACGGCACCATTATTTAGTTCCTGCTCTTAATGGAAATGCTTCCGTTTTTTTCCCCATTCAGTATGAAGCTAAATGTGGGTTTGTACATGTTCTTTACTGATCAATTTTTTAAATGAATATAATCCCCAGTTTCAGGTGGCATAAAAAAGGAAAATCTCAACCTTTCACTTATTCAAAATCTAAGGTATGTGCAACTAATACTAGAGAGAACAAAGACAAAAAATACAACACACAGAAAATGTTAGCCAGTGACAATCAAAGCTCCTTTAAGGAGTATATGACTACTAAGTAAACACAAACCAAAAAAGCAAACAAACAAGAACAAAATATGACAAATATCAGGAATAGTTCACCAAAGGAAAGTTTGTGACATGGAAATCTTCAAAGAAGTAAGAGACCCACCCTCTTTAGAATTAAGGAAGACATCTGGGGCAGGTGTAGGAGTGATGGGACAAGCTGGTAGACAGCCCAAGTGAAGTCCTGCTAACCGTAATGGTGCTTGATAAAGAAGCCAAACCTACCATGGCAGTAACAATGACTAATTCTTAATACCAGACAATGCTTAGTTCTGGAGGCTCAAATACAGCTGGAAATTAGAGATGATCCCTGGACAGAAAGTAGATATGCCTAGGATTATGATATGTTTGGAATTGCACGTCTGTGCAAATGTGTAGGCTGAAACAGTAATCGCCCGCGCTGATGACCTTCATAGGTAGGCAGTAAGAGTTCATCAGGCCGTGATGGTGGAGCCGACATGGGTGGAATCGATGCCCTTCAGGAGACCCTCAAGAGCTAGCTGGTTCTGGGCACCATGTGAGAGTGAAGCAAGGAGGCAGCAATCTCCCATGGATGGAGACCCCTCACCAGAACCTGACTCATCTCAGCCTCTCGGTTCCAGAATTGGAAACAATGAAGTCCTGCTGTTCGTAAGATACTCTTAGCGTATGGTACAGTTGGTGTTCCTAGTTCAAGTATTTTCTTTTTTGTAATTGTTTCTGTGCTGAATATGTACAGAGTCTTTATCATTATCTGTTAACTAGATAATGAACTATGTAGCATTTATAGTACATTAGGTATTACAGGTAATATAGAGATGATGGGAAGGAAGTGAGAGATCGCACAGATTATACGCTAATACAGCACTATTTTAGATAAGCGACTGAAATATCCAAGAACTTTGTTATCCACAGCAGCCCTGAAACCAATCCTTCGTGGAAAGCAAAGGACAGCTATGCTATGACATTTCCAACTGATAACACATGAAATAAATCCAGCCCACAGACCTTCAATAAAACTGCAAATGATGAAATAAGGGCTAAGTGTGGTTGATGGAGGACTTCCTCTAACCCTGTTGTTACCCCCCACCCCCAGCCCATGCTCTCAGGCAATACAGAAATTTCCTTTCCTGCATGTCAGAGGCCAGCAAAGTCTCCCCTAAAGAGGTCAGATTGTAAATATTTATGCTTCCCAAAGATATATGATCCCTGGCACTGCTACTCCATTGTGCTGTTGCCATATTTGTTGGCCCTTGCTCATAAAGTAAGGGAAAAAGTAGGAGAAATTACAGAAAACTCACATTAAACTCAGTGTGCTAGATTTGGATAAATCTTTCCATATTAATTTTAGTTCAGAGAGAAACATCAGAAAAAAATACATCTTCTCAAAAATAAGTAAAATATTCAAAATATGGCATACAAATGATAGATTACAACACACGTTATAGTAGAAAGAAAACCACTTCCAGGAGAAAATTCCACAGCATGTCTGTCACTATGAGGGTATCTGTAGTAGTCCTGCCTTAAACACGGCTTCTGTTTCTGTGGCTTTAGGTACTCATGGTTTCCATTACAGGCATTCAACCATGGCCCAAACTCTACATTCAAAGTTCCAGCAATAAACACTTCATCAGTTTAAGTTAACACCAATCAGAACTGTGATGAAATATCACACTATATTGTTCCATCCAAGCTGAGACACGAATCAACCCTTTGTCCAGTGTATTCATTCTACCAGCATTGCATGCCGGTTAATTCCTTAATGGCTGTGTTAGTTGTCAGGCTAACCATTAAGGTGTTGCAATGTCTGTGTTCAAATAATCCTTCCACGGAGCCTGACATGAGATCGCAATACCTATGTTATTCTCCTCACTTCATCCCTCGCAAATGTATTTTATTGTCTCCCACCAAGACATGAAGAAGGGTCAACACAGTTAAATAAGGCATTTTGAGGGAGCAAGACCAAGATCTGTAACTTTTACATTAGTATATTGATGTAGTGGTTCTATTTTACTGTTGTTTTTATTAACCTCTTTCTGTGCCTATTTTACAGATTAAAAATTATCCTAGAAATGTATGTATGGAATAAAAAATCATGAGATAAACTATAATTCCATATTATTCACCGTTTCAGGCATCAAATGGGATTTTTGTAATACATTACCCAACGACAGAGAGGCTGTTCTATAAAAACACGTATTTGCAAAAGAAGCTTTCAAAGATAAAGTTATAAAATAGAACTGTCCA